CCACAGATTTGTTTGCTGACCACTTTCTACCAGTTTTTTAACACAGGTGCTGCCTCCCTTACAAATTTGTCACGCGACTCTACTAACACAATGAAGAACAAGTAACAATAATATTCGCAATAACATCGTTTTACTGAATAATCAAGTAAACCTAATTTCTTAATTTATCTTTGTAAAGAAACCTCATTGCTTAACTGGCTATTCTCTGCTGTCTCAGACGACGACATCTTTTCCTGTCGGCCAACTGTCAGGGTTCTGCCCTGGCAGCCTTGTCTGTTTTGTCTTTGTTTCATGTTGCTATGTTTGTCTTGTGTTTGAGCACATGGCTCTGTCTTTGTTTGCCATGTGCTCCACTTCTCCTGCCTCCTTGTTTCCTGTTACCACGCCCCCTTGTTTAGTCCATGGCCGTTTCTCAATACCAAGTATGCAAACTTCCGACTTGCGTCCTTGGTAGTTCGGACTAGGCAAGTTCGACTCAGTAGAACAAACTCCAGAGTACGAGAGGACGCAAGTCCGGTTATTGTGCAAATGGAACAGCGGCATTCTTGATCGCGTCACTCAGCACGCTCTGGCTACTCCGGTTATCTCTTTATGTATATTTTAGGCAACAATAAAATGAAATATGCTTCAACTCTGCCTCTTTTCGTCAACAATAAAACGAAATATGTTATAAAACACCACTCTGCCTCTTTTCATTAAAAAAAATCTTAAACATAGCCTATTAGCCTAATGGCCACACACATGTGGTTCAGGCAACGCGTACATTGATTATCTTCACTGCATATATTTATAACAACATGAAATATAAACCACAACCCTGCTTCTTTTTGATATCATTTTAAAAATATGAAACATTATTGATTTTTATTGACATTTAACAAACAGAGACAGGGTTGTGCCATTTTATTTTATATAGTGAAGAGAATGTTAAAATAAATATATATATATATATATATATATATATATATATTAAAGTATATAAAATAAAATTACACAACACTGTCTCTTTTTGTTAAATGTCAGTTTTAATGATCAATAATATCCAGTATAAAAGTATAAGTAGCCTAAAAGGTATAAGAAGCTACAATGAGAAATAAAGCAAACAATTCAGTCAAACATAAGTAAGCTCTCTAATAGGCTACAAAGTTCAAGTTAAATAGCCTAAATATATAAAGCTATGAAACTTCACTTTGCCCTCAGCCAAAACGATTTGCCATGGAACAAACTATAGATTAATGAGACCAAAGATCGACTTATACACAAAACAAATTATACGTCATGTTTATCCACTAGACTAGAGACATCAGAGCCAGCGGCAAACGTCAGAAGCACAAGCCGAGGAAAAGCTGTTCCAGTCGGGGTTAAGCGCTGAACGCCCGGTGATCACCTGGATCTCACAACTCCGAAAACGTCAGATACATTTTTCAAATAGGCGCTATCTTGATAAATAAACCACAGATGTGAGCTTTAAACAACTACATTCTCGCCTGAAAAACTTTCATGACACAATAACAGTAGTATTTTGATATTACGCGGGTTTTCTCCTCTGCTATTGACGCTTGCTGGTTGGTGTGAGATGCATTCTGGGATACCTGGCTGTCTCAAGTCCGCACAAGTCACCTCTCGATGCATCCTCGGTAAAAGGGGCGGATCAAGAACAGATCTGGGGATTTGAACTGGACTTGGCTAGATGTGAACTTTGAATTGGAACAGTACTCGGGCAGCGACTGATGACGTTTCACAAGTCCACAAGAACACAAGTACAGACAAGAACGCATATTGAGAAACGGCCCATGTCTTGTCCTTGTTTCACTAATTGTCCTCACCTGATCCTCATGTGCTCTGGTCCCTTTATATTGTGCCTCTTTCCCTCATGTCTTTGCTGGTTCGTTTTGTGCGTTGTCTGTGTTCAACGTGTGCGTTCATTGTGTGTATGCGGTTATCACAGAAATTGTCAGTCAGTGCTAGATTTAGTTTTCCTTGTTTGATTATTTCTGTTTTGTTCAATTCTAGTTTCTTTGTCCCTGTGTTTTAGTCTAGTTCTAGTCTTTATTTACTTCTAGTTCTCTCGAGTCTTGTTTTTACTTCTCTTTATTTTTTGTTAGGTAATCTTTTATTTCTTTTTCTCTAGTCTTGTTTCATTTATTTTTGTTTGTAAGTACCAGTTACTTATTTTAAAAGATTAATTATTTTATTTACCTTATTTTCTCCTTTGCTACCTCCAGTTATTATTCTATTTTATCTATTTTGTTTTTCTAGTCATAGCTTTCAGTTTTTTGTTTCTGTTATCTCTTGTTGTGTGTTCATCTTGTGTTTGTTCCTGCCCTGCCCTGCCCTGCATCCTGGTCTTCCTTGGTTATTGAGACTCCTGTCCTGGCAAGCCACTCTAGTGCCCAGTGCTGTTTCATCTCACCCATGCCAAGCCTCTGGTTCCTTGAGCTGCTGTCAATTTTCCACTGTTGCCAAAGAGCCTGGAGTTGTCTCACCCCTTACCAGCCTGTTCTCCAGTTGTGCCCTCGGCCTACCTGTTCTCCAGTTGTGTGCCCTGCGCTATTGTTTGGACTGTTCCTGCCTGTGTCTTGTCTTTGTCAATAAATATCACTCCCCGTTCATTCTGTGCCTGGGTCCTCCCTTCTCTGAATCCTGACACCACCGTAACTTCTGGTGGTTGCAATTCCGGTTGGTGTAAAAATTACACAGTGCACCTTTAAAAGCACACAATTATAATGTTCTCGTTATAATTTTATGTAGCAGATATAGAGCTGGTAAGTCCCGCCCATCCGTAAAACTCCAAGTGGACCTCTAGGTTGAAAAAGCGTCAATGTTAGTGAATGAGACAAAATAATTATTTTCTGATCCCGTTTGAATTGTGCCATGAATGTGAACATATGTTGTCTGTAAATTTTTTATATAATTTCTCATGTAACGAGTTTGACAGTATATTGTATGATTCTTTGGCTAGCAGTTGTGGAATAGACATAACGAGAAAGACTACACGTCGCATATGTGACGTCACCGCATAACACATTTTCCCTCCACAAATCACGGTGCGATAATCTAAGGAATTAGATCCAGATGCCTGTGTGTTTTGTACCCAAATGTCACCATTCAAACAAAGGCATGTTTAGCGTGATCCGTGTGCTAGTGGTGGTGACGTATATCAAACGCGTCGAAAGCAGCGAAGAGTTGTAGTCCACAAAGTGCTCTCACACAAAGTCTAAGCATATGAAAATTCTACCCGCTAAATTGTAGCATTCTTTACACGAAATATTATATCAAAAATTCACAGACAACATATGTTCACATTCATTGCAAAATTCAAACGGGATTAGAAAATAATTATTTTCTCTCATTCACTTGCATTGACGATTTTTCAACCTAGAGGTCCAGCGGGGTAAGCGGAAGGGGCGGGACTTACCACCAGCTCTATGACAGACTTGCGCTGCACATAACTGTATTTTACTTTTTTGAAAGGATTCCAATCATATTTCAAGCAATTCAAAACCATCATGGTGAACAGTGCGCATCTGAAGTGTCTCAGCTGAAGGAAATAATACATTATTTATCGGCTTTAATATATTGGCCAAATTCCGGCCGTTAACAATAACATTACAGAAGGACAAACATCACTGCAACACTCCACCGATCTGGGCTTTGAGCGCCCAGACTCAAGCCTCTACTCAGTGAAGACACATGAACACCGACTTGGAATTTGCAAAAAAGCATCTTAAGGACTTTCTCAGACTGTGAGAAACAATATTCTCTGGTCTGATGAAAATGAAATACTTTCTCAAGGCATTATATATATACTATATGCTGTAAGGTACCAAGAATATCTCGACCGGCTAGCTTTACTTTTTAGTGCTCTCTGAGTCATACAGATGAAAGGCCTCCCTCTGTTCTTCAGTTCCCTGCACTTTTATTATATCATCTTAAATCCTGCTGATGTAACTCACAGCCTTGAAAGACTGTTTTGTGACAATCTGCATGGCAATAATTGCGAAGTTTTCAATAATTGCAAAGCTTTTATGTCAAATGTTATCTAATGGAAATGCGAGAACAAAAGTGGTGCGGTTATACTTTATGGGGTGCTGGAGTTGTTATCTGCTCGCCTCTGAAGTGCTTTACAGGTGTTCTTTGTGAAAAACAAGACAAAGCAAATTAAAGCAAAAAGAAATGCAAACGAGTTTCTTGTATGAACTGAGATGGTTTATTTTTATAAGATTAACTGCTACATTCTTTGAGACAAATTTTAGCAGATTCACATGTATCCTTTTTGGAGAATACAATCCCAGAAGTACTGCAATGCAAAGGGAAATTTGTCATGGACTCACAAAACGTACATTCCCCTGCCAATTGTAAATGCGTAAAAGAACAATAATGCCACCTAAACCATCTCACAATATAATTATAACAATAAAAATTTAACTAACATGCGAAAAAAGCGACTAAAGAAATGTTGATTATGAAAAAACAACAACCAATAATGACAAATATTGATAAACAGTTGAATCAAATTAAAATGGGTTATTTTGCCCAAGAAAAAATGTGATTATCAAACTGTAGGCTCAGCAACAAAGCCAACAGTTTGACAAAGCCAACAAAGCCAATAGAGTTTGACTATCAAACTGAATTGCAATCAATTGTAAGCAGAGTCTCACATTTCACACAACGAGAATTATTTTTGAGTTATTTATTTGAAAATCAAGCTATTAGCTTAGCAACATGCTAACATCAAACTATTGGATTCGGTTGTAAACAGTCTCTCATTTGGAGCTAACTTATAAAGCGATATTTTTGTGACATAAGAAGTTGCTCCCTAAGTAAGTACCAAATTAGTTTCATATGAAAAGGTTTCATTTCAATTGCCATGTTGACGTAGAAGGCAGCAGCGTATGTAAACAGACAGTAAACAACAAGGCAGCTTACTAGGTTTTGGACCAGAGCTATAATTTCTGCAGTGTATGAGGTTGAAATTTGATATTGTGTTTATTTAACAGGTGTACGTGTCCTATGACTATGGAACCACCTTCACGGACGTATCAGAGAAATTTCAACTGTCTGGGGATCAGGAGGGCAAGAAACAGGTCATCTCACAGTTTTACCACAGCCCTGCTGACAACAAACGAGTAAGTGTGTGAGAGACATTAGCTGCACTATCAGTGTGACATACTTGAGTTGTCTTGTCTTTGTGAGTTTAAGCCGAGGTCATACAAGACCGCTGTGACACAAACCGCTTCCTGGCCATCTGCAGCTGTGACCTTCCACCACTCCAATCACGTATACACCCACAGATGGTGTTATCCAAGAGAGCAACTCCAAGGGCTGGGTAAAAATACAGGCTGCATCCTTAGTCTTTGCCCTTGCCACCTACCGTAACTGACTGCTCCATTGAGACTTTGTGGGGGTGAAAAGGCTCATGGGAGTTGGAGTGGGGAGCTGCAGATGTGGTAGAACCGCTGTGGGACTCTGCATTGCGTCTTTGCAGGGGCTGACGGCAGCAGACGGTGACCATTCATCTGGAGACTGGAGTCAATGATGTGGCTGGCACTGCAGCTGCCGCTTGCTGCTCCTGCTGGATTGGATTGGATTGAAGCTAAAGCGTTACTAGTGTAATTTGCAAAGCTTACAACTTCTTGGTAGCAGCACTGGGCTGTTTAATTACATTTTGAGTGATCAGAGTAACTTGCACCGTTGGGCCACATGTAGAAAAGAACTCTGATTCTCGGTTGTTACAGATGGGATAATTAATAGAAATATTGGCTAGGTGCTTTATAGTGGCTTTGACTTGCAAGTGTGATTGGATTTTCTAATGATTCACTATTGACTTTTTATTATAACATTAACATTGATCTCAATTAATATAGTATTCACTTTATTTTAGTAACTATTATTATATAATAATATTAATAATTAACAGTAACATTATTTCTGTTTTTACTTTTTAACTATTATTATAATGGATATAATTATTATTTATCTCAACTACTAACTAATGAAATCGATTGGCTTGTTGAGAAGAGGTGTGTTATTACTTCTCTAAGCTGTGTTGACTTGGCCTTGTGGTAAGAAACCACTCAGAACAATGGCATTGTGTCACTTATAGTCTGATGATGGTCACGGTTGATGCTGGAGATCCATATGCTCTACTTTCTCTTTCTTCTTTTTCCACTTTTTCTTTCATATTTCTGTACAGCATTAGGTTTCTTTTTAAGTCGAGTGTTACTGTTTCAGTCCCAGTCCTCATTGCCTCTGAATCTGGAGAGAGAAAGTGCCCTGCTTCCATAACCAGGCCATGGAGAGGACAAAGTTTATAGGGAAGGCTCTTAAATGAAATATCAAAGAGAAGGGAGGCAGATTAGAATGGCAGAAGTGCATAATCTGTATAATTCATAATGTTAAAAATGTTTTTTACTATATTTAAAATGCTTTGATGTTCTCGTGGTGCCAGTTGCCTGAAATAAATATCTATAAATTATAGATCTTCTGTTGTGTTGTCAACCACTACAGAGGTAAACATCACCCTAATGTTCCCAACCTGTATGATGTGGAAAGCAAAAGAAGACATTTAGCAGAATGTAGAGGCTGCTCTTTTACACATAATGAATGTGGATGGTGATTTTTATAATGCCAAGTCATTAAAGGACCAAAAAAGCATCATAAAAACAGTCTATATGAGTTGTGTACTCTAGGCCTTTAAGACATGCAGGCCCATATTCTGGTCATTTTACATTGCACATTTTTTACATTGAGTCATATGGACTACTTTTATTGTGCTTTTTGGAGCATTATAAACCACAATCTACTTTCATTGTATTGAAAATAGATGCCTTGCATCTCTTTTTAAGACAATAAAATGGTATTTGTAACATAATCCCCTGGTTTCACAGACAAGGCTGTTTTAACTGAAAGCAACTTGCACTGACACATCTTAAAATATGCCAATACCATTATTTTGTCTCAAGATGCACACCAGTAATGTTTTTTTCTAAGGCATGTTTTTAAAAGCTACTAAATGTCCTGAGTTGAACTAAGGCCTGATCCGGCTAAATCTAAGCCCTGTCTTTGAAACCGGGCCTAGGTTGAGTATATGATGACAGTATTTTTTATTTTGGATGAACTATGCCTATAATTGTTTTTGCTGAATTTACTTTTTTTTTTTTTTTTTAAATGTCTTTTCTGATTTTTCCCCTGCAGTACCTATTTACTGACACCACGAACGGTTACCTGTGGAACACCTTTGACTTTTGTAAAAGTGTTCAGGGTTTCTCCATCCTCTTCAAGCCCACAGACTTACTGCTGCACAGTAAGAGGCCTAACCTGGTCCTTGCTTATGACAGTTCTCACCCCAATAAACAGGTATGATCACCAATGCTTTCCTTCAGTACTGGGCTATTTTGTATATATTGTGTCCAGTTTTAATAAGATGAATGGCACTGCCACTTAAGCCTTTAGCTATTTGTGGAGATTGCCCTTTTGAATTTTGCACTAAGCAGCAAATTTTGATTTGAGGAAATCAGCCGTAATTTTCATATGAGAAGCTGGTTCATGACGAATGTTTAAAGATATTAAATGTTGTAACAGAAACTGCTGACTCTTAAGGACTTCTCTTTCTTCCTATTTTCTTTTTTTAATTTCCATTTGGCAGCTGTGGAAATCAGATGACTTTGGTGAGACGTGGGTGTTGATTCAGGAGCATGTGAAGTTCTACTTCTGGTAAGATCAAACACTTTGAGGGTGTTCTGAATGTGTCCATCACAAAATCTGTTTTTGGGTGTGATGTGTGTGCCATCATTGGGCAAAAGTAGTCATGCTACTAATTTAACTACATATTTCAGTGCTTTTTAAAAAACATAGTAGCTTTTCTAGAAGAAAGCTTCTTTTTCCTGCAAGCACCGGTAACAAAATGCTACATTGCTGTTTTTTGTCACATGAAATTAAGGAAATAATCATGGTTAATCATGCTTGCCTTTGAATTTCGATTCATTTTAACAAAATGGTTAGTTCGACAATTCATTCATTTTTAACGAACCAGTTTAAAAACAATATACACTCTTTTATTCCACCATGATTGTAGTGATATACAAATTTATATGATAAAATATTACAATAATTTTACAAAATGATATTTTTTTCAAATGCCGTTTCATATTATATAGATATGTATACATATGAAACGACATTTTGAAATATAATTTTGTAAAATTATTGTAATATTTTATCATATAAATTTGTATATCACTACAATATATTGATATACAAATATATATATATATATATATATATATATTTGTATATCAATATATTGTAGTGATATACAAATTTATATGATAAAATATTACAATAATTTTTATATATATCAGTAGTCAACATTTGAAGTCAAAAGTTCATCAAAGTTACATGAATTTTGAACAATACCTGTTCTTGTCCTAGGACAACTTTGATTAACTTTTTTGATCCACTTCAAATGTTGACTACTACTGAATATACACTACCGTTCAAAAGTTTGGGGTCGGTACGATTTTAAATACTTTTAAAAGAATTCTCTTCTGCTAACCATGGCTGCGCTTATTTGATTAAAAATACAACAAAAATCAGTTATAGTATTAAATATTATTCCAGTGTAAATCAGCTGCTTTCTGTGTGAATATATAGTAAAGTGTAATTTATTCCTGTGATCAAAGCTGAATTTTCAGCATCACCAGTGTCAGTGTCTTCAGTGTCAAATGATCCTTCACAAATCAGTATAATATGAGGATTTGATGCTCAAGAAACATTTATTATTATTATCAATGTTGAAACAGTTGTTGGTCTGTCAGTTGTACAGTTTTTTTTTTTTTTTTTTTTTGGATTCTTTGATGAATAGGAAGTTCAAAAGAACAGCATTTGTTTGAAATAGAATCTTTTGTAACATTATAAATGTCTTTACTGTCCTTGATAAATAAAAGTATTGATTTCTTTCCTCCAAAAAATAAAAATATAATTCTCACTGACCCCAAACTTTTGAACGGTAGTGTATATATATATATTTGATATTTAGTATAAATTAAATGCTGTGAATAGCTTAAATGCAGTTATCTACTTATTAGGAAAATTCTATAGGTCCAATTCTCACTTTGAACTAGTTGCTTGTTATCATGCATATTACTAGGATATTGGCTGTTTATTAGTACTTATAAAGCACATATTAATGCCTTATTCTGCATGACCTTGTTCTACATCCCTAATCCTAACCAATTCCTACCAATACCTAAATGTAACAACTACTTACTATTAATAACGAAAAGTCGTAATTAATAGTTGGTTAATAGCGAGAATCAGACCCTAATCTAAAGTGTGACCACTTATTATTATTATTATTATCCTTTTTCAAGTAGTAGCTTAAGTATACACTGATTTCTGAATGACACTGAAACCTGGAGTAATGGCTTTTGAGCTGTAGTAATTTAGTTACTTTTGCTAATGAGCAGCTTGTGGATAGCCTATTTCACACATGGTTCATTACTGTGGTTTTGATTGCTGTCTAAAAGAACAGGGTGTGAGTTTGCAGCTCGTTGATATCCTAAGCAATCGAAATGGCAAATCCAGTTCTTGCTTTCCACTTTCTTCCGTACAGGAATTTTGCAACAATGTTTGTAATTTGAAGAGGGTTGAATGCTCTGTGCTGCCTCACTCAATTTACAGGTTTATGTAGGAATGTGAAACTCTTGCTTTGGATTGCAGCCAGCACTCAGTGTTTGCACAATCAGGCACTGGCATCGAAAGCGAGCAGCAAATAGAAATAACAGAGTGGCGCTTATTGCTATCCTGTTCCGTAAACATTATGCCATAGGATATGATCCGACCGGAAAACCGGAGCTAATTAGAATGTTATGACTCCAATTCATCACAGACGTGATTATCGTTTTTTTCTTTGTTACTTTAGCTCAAAATATGTCTGTAAATGTCTCGATGCCAGAACAAATTAGTTTTTCACATTATTGCAACAGAATAGTCGAAGATATGTAAGGAAGTGGTCAGTGTTTTCAAGCATGTGGGCTGCCGTCCAGACAGACTGCTTGATTGCAAAATAGTCGGTTGTGGATGTTTCTCTGATGAGGCTCAGACTGCGGCCGTATTAATAATTGATTGTGTCTACCAGCCGTGACCCATTTCATCTGCTGGAGTGGCAGTCAGTGCCTGTGGAGATAACATCAGCGATCCTCTGCGATGGCCCTACACAAATGACTCAAGAGCTCAGAGACCGACTACACCATCACTGCAGCGATAACCCTTCTGTTCTGTGCTCTGAGAGCTCTCTCAGACTGTGCCCGGCTTAGGATTGTCACATTTCAAACAGCTTCCCTTTTTCCGGTTTGACGGATGTTTTCTTTTCCTCAAGAGAGGGTCTTTAGAGAGGGTGATCAGGGAGTGTTGTGAGCCAGAATCAAACCTGTGTCAGATGTTGGATGTCTTTTAGGGATGCATGATATATCAGTTCCATATCGTATTTTTTTTTTTATTTAATTGTTCTTGCTCATTTACTTTTTTTAACATTTAGTTTACTTGGTTATATCAATCTTTAAAAGCACTAAAAATGTACACTGTTAAATGTAATCTTTAGCAAATCTCAAAATTAATATCCAGTTTTATATTTATACGGCACATCATAATGTTGTGATGCCTAAATTCAATTGTAGCATTTAAACAGTCTAATTTTAATTTTTTTAAAAACAAACAGTACTAAATTACAGTACAAATCAAAAGTTTGGGTTCAGTGAGGTGTTTTTTTTTAAAGGAAAGAAATTAATACTTTTTTCAGCAATCAATGACACATTATTTTAAATGAATTCTGTTATTTTAAATTTTTCTTGTTTTTCAACTGTTCTTAATGAAATGTTTCTTGAGCAGTAAATCAGCATATCAGAATGATTTCTGAAGGATCTTGTGACACTGAAGACTGGAGTAATGATGCTGAAAATTCAGCTTTACCATCACAGAACTAAATTACATTTTTATTAGATTAAAATAGAAACCAGTCATTTTAAATGATAATAATTTTTCACAATATTACAGTTTTACTGTATTTTTGATCAAACAAATGCACCCTTGAGCATAAGAGACTTCTTTCAAAAACATCTGGCCAACTCCAATCTTTTGAAGACTTGCGTTTTGTGTCAGTTATTAGCCTAATAATTGTTGGTTTAATGGTGTCAACCAGAATTGTAATATTGCTGCATCATTATTAAACGTATACATTTTTAATGTAGCAGTCAGAAGGAATAAGGAAGTCCTGCCAAACAGCTTGACTACTGTTTTAAAGGTCAGCAAACAGACCTTCAGTTCAGTGCATGTTTGTGTTTTTCTGGGTGTGAATTGTGTTGTTTGTTGACTGTATTCTCTGAGCTCTCAATTGGCTTTCAGTTTTAATCTAGACAAACCAAAGGCGGAGCTGCAGGGCTGGTTAAAAGAGCTGTAAGCCCTTGTTTTTATCCGTCTCTCACTCTGCTGCTCGACGTGCTAAACTCCCAGTTGTGAAATAGAAAGCAAGCGGCGAGGTTTGTGTGTTTGTTCCCCTGCGAGATAATCCCTTTATCCTCTAGCTTGGTGATTTAAGAGCCAGTCTCAACAATCAGCACCCCTCTGTGTTTTCAAAGAGGAAGGGAAGTCAGGCTGTTGGTCAAGAGTGGAGAGAGATTCTCTCATCCATTTATCTGAAACTGCTGCCCATTCCTTCGTCTGTAGTCTTGATCTCCCACACTCACCCTGAATAATTTATGAGTAACATTGTGCAGAAAACAGATGAGGAAAACTGGTTCAGTGTAAGTTGTTAGGTGTGAAGTTGCTTGAATTGGCTTGGCAAGTGGAAGTACCTATTGATCACGTATGATAAATGTAGCTGCATATGCCCTGTACAGATTTTGCATTGTAGCACATTGCATGTCATTAGGAAATACAATACAAAACATGTTACTTTATTATTGTAATATTGTATATTATTTTTGAAGCAATGTTCAAATGTTTGCGATTATTTAAATGCTTTTGAAAGAAGTCTTTAATGTTCACCAAGACTGCATTTGTTTAATACAGTAAAAACAGTAATTTTGTGAAATATTATTACAATTTAAAATAACTAATAATTTTATATTAAGACACATTCATATGGAATTGGTTGCTCTCTGAAACCATGTAAACATAAAATGGAACATAAATGTATGCTTAAAAAAACAAAAACATTGTGTTAATAATAAATGTCCAAAATATGAATGTCCAAGTATGTGTGTCTTTCTAATCCCCTAGGGGTGTAGAGCCACACGACAACCCCACCACGTTGTTTGTCCAGCGCCACGAGCCCCAGGGAGACTCCATCATCCTCAGCAGCACAGACTTCTTCGAGCAAAACCGTCAAGTTATCCTAGAGAAGGTGGACAGCTTCCAGTTACGGGACAAGTACATGTTTGCCACCACAACCAGGGTAAGGGTACATTCCAACGTTCGGAGGATAATTTGTAGCTTCAGGCTTTTATATAGCAGAAGAAGGGTAGAATAAGCAGCGCTGAGCTAGAGTTCAAAAACTGGAAATGTGGAGAGTGTCGAGAGTCAGATCCGTGCCAACTCCAGCTGAATGCCTCTCCTGTGAGTGTGAGTAAACACTCCTCTGAAGAGCTGGAGGAACGATCCCGCTCAAGATGAACAGGCAGAGATAACAGGCTTATTTAAAGCCATGGAATCGGATAAGGAGGATTCCTGGTGTGTTTAGCCAACACTGAACTTCTGCCCTATATGACATAAGGGTAATTCAGACAGGTGACACTCTTGTTATTAATCTGGGCTGGTAACCAAAAGGTTACTGGTTTGAATCCCACTGGGTCATTGTGCCCTCAAACATAATATATGCCCCCTGGAGGCACAACCTGTAATACATGTACTGTAAGTTGTACAGTACATGTACATCTGGTGATTGTGTGTCTGTGAACAGCAGTAGTACGTAGACTGTTCCAGAAGGTAGGCGGTTTCGTTATGGTTCCTCCTAAGAGGCCAAATTTTGGCCAGATTCTAAGGCAGAATTGTTTGTATCCATCACAGAGAGAGCGAACCCAGAATGCGCTACAACGAGCTCGATGAAAGAATAAATACAAGGCGGACAAGAGAAATGTTGATTATATATATAAACGTGTATTTAATTCAATACTGCAACTAATAGATAAAAATAGTTCAGTGTAATTAAAAACGGATTAAGTTGCATGTGCTATATATTTTATGCTTCTATTAGCAGCATGGTAACATCAAACTGCAATCATATTTTGCAGTTCTGTTTTTCTTAGTGTGTATATAGTGCTAGAGGAATGAGTCCTAAAGCCTTTAGCTTTCCATGGGTTTTTTGAATGGGTTTGTTTTTAAATCGCTCAAATGGTGGTTAACATAAGCTCAAGATATTTTCATGTTTCATACTGTGTCTTGAAAAGGCAGTTGCTAACAAGTGGCTAAATGGGACTATTGAGGTTGTCAGGGACATTAAAACGTCATCACTCTTCTACTCGCTAGTCCACTTTGTGTTTATAACTGCACTCTTGTAACTCCTGCACTCCTGTGCACTATTCTAACTCAGACGTTCTAATTTAAAGATTATAAAGTTTAAAAGAGTAGTGTGAAAAGTAAAGGTGGTGACGTTGAAGTCATGCAGCCATGATGTAGATTGTTTATATCTTTATCTTTTCACTTCTTCCTATTGTTAGACTTCAAAATTCATACAAACTTTCTTTAATTGTGAAGATTATCTTTATGAGCAAACCATGTAAGAATCATAAACTTTGGTTGGTAAAAGAGATTATTTTCTGCAATAGTCCAGAGGTCCTCGGAATAAATCCTATTTGCTTTTTGTCGAAGGAACCTAGGGTGATGCTAACATCTAGGTTTTCCTACAAAAATACATCATCCCTGCAACACTATATTCATTGGAACTTTAAAACCATGCACCTTGTATTATTTTTATTTGTGCGTTTATATAATTCCATGCATATCTATAAATTAAGAATGTCATCTAAACAAGCAGAAACTCTAAAAACGTGAATCCTGCAGATTTACTCTATCTGGACTATCTATTTATTTTTGTAATTTAATGAAGTTAAACACTAGCATTATTTCAGAATTTGTCATGAGCAGAAACAATTGTGATCCTACAATGTATTGTGATGTTTTTTGTATTGTAAGTCCAGCCCTGCAACACAGGTCATCAGTCATAGAAACACTAAATAGTGTAAAAGCTGTATCTGTCAAACTGTCTCATTAGCATCACATCCAAGAAGTTTTGCATAGTTCTTGGTTTCTGAAACAATGACTGTCTAGACCTCACGTCTATGCTGACCGCAGCTAGTGTTATATTTCAGCGTAGCGCTCACCCTTGAGTATATTCAGTGGTTAATCATTTCCACCCCACATCAGCTGGCATCTCACTAACCTCATCCCACAGCAAATGTCTGACTGCCCAGAACTGGATGAGGCATCTGTCAGGTCACACATGGCACTGCCAGGTTGCGTAAAGCAGAAGCAGACCCAAGTCACCCATTAAATTGGAAAGAAATGTGTAATTTATCTGCGGCCTCAGAAAGCCAGAGACTCCGTGGGAGTTTTAAGGGCTGTTTATGAGCATTGCTGCGCGGATGGCACAACCGCGGCCCTGGACGGCGTGCCTGCCTGACAGTTCTGATCTATGTTCCGTTAATGAAGTTGTGGCTAGGTTTCCCTCGGGTGCCTCTAACCACTCATGCACCACTTATATGCGTTCTGCTGCCCAGTGCCGCCATATGGTCCCGTCTTCAACACTGCGCCATACTAACGGCACGGCACCGAAAGAGTTTTTATAAATGCTTCCATTGTTCTTGTTTTGTTGCAGTAAAGGGATGTCAAATGCATCAATGCAAATTCTGTCATCATTTACCTACCCTCATGTCGTTCTAAACCTATATGACTTTCTTTCTGCTTTGGAACACAGAAGAAGATATAAACTGTTTTTGTCTAGTTTGGTTATAAAAGTTTGGTTTGAGTAAATGATGACAGAATTTAAATTTTAGGCTAAACTGTCCAAAGGCCATCTGACGCGAGACGGAAATACGAAAGGAGCAATATATACTCGCTTTTATTTAGCTCGCTTTTTTTCCCCTGAATTTTCCACAAAGGGCTGTGGGAAGTTTGCTCCCTGTGTTTTGGTGAGCCACATTTCCAGTTAATTTAACGGATTTGGATATTTCACTTGCTGAGTGGATGGATTTACAACAGGATATTTAGTGGTTTTCATGGTCAGACCGTTCAACTCTTTGCAGTGCTCGTTGGTTGTCCACATAGCGCATTAAACAAAATTATCCTAAGGAGGTTTATGACAAGACAGACAAATAGTAAATAGGCCAGAGCAACAGCTCTTTGGAATTTGTCTGGCTGGGCAAGTTGTAAATATCTCTACTCTTGAGGAGAGAGAAAGTGACAGGCTTGTTGAGATCCTTGGCTTGTTGATGCCTGTGTGTGGCCTGGCCCTGACCCTGCTGGCCAGACGTACCCCTAGAGCAACCCCCTCTCTCTTTCAGTCTCTCGCTCACTCACTCACTTACAGAACAAATACTTAGAAGAGCTGCCTACAGAGACAGCATTTTAAGACATCACAAGCTGCCCCTGCTGGAAAAAAAACAGCTTAAATTAGTCTAACCCGGTTTGTTGGTTCTAATTGGCTTAAAGGGATAGTTCACCCAAAAATGAAAATTCTGTCATTAATTAATCACCCTCATGTTGTTCCAAAACCGTAAGACTTTTGTTCATTTTGAGAACACAAATGAAGATCTTTTTGATGAAATATGAGAGTTTTCTGTCCCCCCATAGACAGCTATGCAACAAACTTTGACGCTTCGAAAAGTTAATGTAAAACTAATCCATATGAATTGAGAGGTTTAGTCCAAAATTTCTGAAACTCATTGGTTCTTGTACAAGCTCAACATGCTGCATAACTCAAGAGAATGAACCTCATTGGTTCTCTCACATCAAGTGAACATGCTTGAGCTTCCATTTACCACAACTGATGTGTGAGTTGATGAATGTTTATATGTGAATAAAAGACTAAATTCAGTCTGTTCATCATACTGTATAAAGCGATCAAGTCTCTTCAGAAAATTTGGACTAAACCGCTCAATTCATATGGATTAGTTTTACGATCTCTTTATGGACTTGAAGCGTAAAAGTTTCAGTTGCGTAGCTGTCAATGGAGGGACGGAAAGCTCTCAGATTTCATCAAAAAAATCTTCATTTGTGTTCCGATGATGAATGAAAGTTTACGGGTCTGGAAAGACATGAGGGTGAGTAATTAATGACAGAATTTTCATTTTTGGGTGAACTATCCCTTTAAGATGAAAAAATCTCTGGCAGAAAAAGAGGAAGAGGATTGATTCAATCATCAATCAAGTGGTGATAAAGATTGATATAGTTAAAAACTGATCATTTTACCCAATGTTTGTGTGTTGTATATTTTTCATATTAGATTATCATTTTGTTAGCTTAGCGACATGCTAACACTAAACTCTATTTGAATCAATTGTGAGTTGCTGCTTATGTAACGTTCTAAATTAGTAATTTGAGATGCCATGTTAGATAGGATGCTGTTTATGTAGATAGTAGGCAGTGAGGTTCACTAGGTTTTGGACCATATCCAAAGTCTTGCCGGTCGGACGACATTGATGTCAGTCTTTTTCTCCCTTTTTTCAGTCTTTTACCCTTTTCTCTTTCCGTCACTGTCTCTCTCTGACTCACTCTTTTGCTCTCATTGTGTTGAGTCCCTCTATCTGCAGTCCGGCTAATAGGATTACCATAATGAATATCACAAGAGCCTTTGGCAGTAAGAAGCTTCTAAGACTAATTAAAGCTGTGGAAACCAAGGTCCTCTCATCTGAGGGATTTATCCATAATGTCATAGAGATCTTTAATAATAATTAAGTCTTTTCTCTTCTCACATCCTCACCTCCCTGTAGCCCTGCAAGCTGCTTTAGTGATAACCTGGTTTCAGGGTGTAATCTGAACTTAGATAAAGAAAGATGCTCATGGGAGAAGGATGGGAAGAGATTTTAAATACGATCTTGGCGCGTCAGTAGGCATTAAAGTGGTCTCAATTTAATGCGTTTAATTAAAATACCATTGCTAGCAAATCTCTTATGAATGTAGATCTATAACCACACGTTTCCATGAACATCCTGTCAGTAAGTGAATCAGATGTCAGTTTGATAGCCGTTTGATGGGTTCAATTAGACTGCTTCAAGAGGACTAATGCTGTAATACAGGAAGGGTTAAATTTAGCTATGCTAAACAGCCAAACCCAAAGTTTGTTTGACTGATTAATTAAAAGAACCGACTCAAAATAGTAATTTATTCTTTGCGCTGGCTATCTGTTTTTGCATGCTGCCAGCAAATACAACGTAATGGCAAGTTTTATTGTTTCGATTATCTTTTAATTGCAGACTGCAAACTCACAACTTGGACAAAATATTGTTTACTTTTTGCTGTGACACTATAGAATGCAGAACTTCCCACACTGTGTTCTTCAACATTGCTGCATCTACACATTCTCACTCATGCTTGAAAGTCTGATCTCTCTTCCAGACTAAGCGATGAGAGGGACTGCCAGCACAGTACGGCTGTTGTTCCAGAGATAAATACTTTCTCCTCAAAGAAGGCAAAGTGACTCCAAAGCCAAATATTCATTGGGCCGGCTGTGCCAGAAACTATTCCATTCATGTTGCTATGTAAGAATAGAAGGCTTTTATAGGCGAATTTTGCTGTCAAGTTTGTAGTCAGGGACACTTGGATGGCATGGCAGCAGATTGAGAGATGACAGTTTTCTCTGAGGAGCTGTTTGTGGATAAATGCCTAATGATTCTGTAAGAGCTAAAATTGGAGGTTGGATCTAAGTGTCAGATGCAAATGGAACCTTGGGGGAAAATTTCCGACCTCTGACCACCTGACAGGATTGGTTAACAGCTCAATCACACAAAAACACTGTGCATCCACCTGTGTAGCAACTACTATCGAAATATTTGCCCCTTAAATTGTGGCAGTATGATGTGGTGTTTTTAAAAATGAATTATATTTTTATAGAGGTGAGCAAAACTAGACAAAATTATAATTACCGTTAACATTTCCATGTCTTATTTACAGTTTTCCTAAAAATACCATAATATTATATATAAATATAATAATACGATTCAGATAGTTTTAAATGTGTGATTTCCAGACTTAGAAAAAATAAAGACAGTTGAAGACAAATGGAAATGGAAGTTAAAACTTTAATGGCAAATATAATTTTATATTTTTACTCTAAAATCTGAAATATTTAGTTGGCTAGAATTTTTTAATATCTAATAAATTGTATAGTGTGTGTGTATAATAAAAGATGTATTTTCATATGTAGCCAAAGTATACTACATATCATTTTTATTATTTCATGTTTATGTTTAAATCTTTTTATATAAAATATTCAATAATTTATAAGCTAATCAATAATTTTTTTAAACCAGTATCTATGTAATGTATTGGTTACACTATAACATGGTATTATTATGGTACTGTGTCCGAGTATTGGCATCTGGATCTGGTTGTTGCAGCTTTGTGATTTGATTGTTGTTATCACACACTTTGCTCTCTTAAGCTCTCCCGGCAACACGTCTGTTTTCGAGAGATCTCCCTCGTCTTTGCTCTCTAATGCCAGATTGTGTTTTGGCTCCTTCCACAACACTGCAGTCTGTTCCTGGAGACAGCCGTTAACAGCGAGATAAATCAATACCATGAATGGTGTGACTAAAAACGAGGCAGTGCGGAGAGCTGAGAAGAAAAACACTGAGCCTTTGTGCCTTTAAACAAGGAAGTGGTTAAACTTGTTATTCAGGATGATGGTGCTTATAAATACACTTTTATCTGACAGGCTGTCTTCCTGTTGTTCTTACCACTGACCCATTAAATCCCTGGCCCTGTTTTTACCTGTTACTGCTTCCATCTTGCAATCAATTTTGGCCCTGCAATATAATCAATATAATTTGCTTTCATTTTGATTACTGCCTTTATCACTTCTAATGGCGTCTTTGTTTACTTCTTGTTTACACAGCAAGAAAACAATTGCTTTGAAATCTGATCATTTTAAAGAAGCAGTTTTTGAAATTGTGTTTCAGTCTGAATGGCCTGATCAGATTTCAAGTCGTTTTTTGTCATTTGAATTCACTCTTTCACTATGTAGTGAATATTGAATGAGGGGTTTTGACTAAGACATATCTTTTGTGTATCACAGCCTTTGTTTGATTGTATGGAATCTGTTTATTATAGAGACTGTAATTTACAGCTTATTTTTCTGTGTTTGTGGGGCTTTGTGAACCTGATGTAAGTAACTCTTACTCACCCATGGCTTGATTACAGTGACGGTACAAGGGAAAGACTGATTGAGCAGCCTGAACTTCAAAATTGATTGAAGCTTTGATTTCCTGAGGGGAGAAAGCAAAAGTAAAGACTTCAAGATGGGACGACCGAGTGATAGTACTCCTCCCTTCATGACGCATTTCTCATTTAAGACAATGCTAGACAGAGACATATCTTGGTTGCTGGGACACTGACTAGACTAGTACTGCTAGCACCAGCTTTCCATCTCTTTTACCTTTGGAAAACCAGCAGTTTTAGAAGTACAAATGAGTGACTGACAAATCCCCAGTAGTCCTTATTAAGTTATATCAGGTACAGGACCCTAGTGAATACAGTGCTGATGGGACATATCCTTCCATGCTAATATTGTCTGCCATTCAGACCTCGTTTATAGTGAATATATGCCATGGTTTATGGTAGCTGATGGGTTTAGATTACCTTATGAAATATTTATGACTCTGCTGTTTAATTTTAATAAATTCTATTGCAACATGTCCCCGTTTTGTGTAGAATTGGAAAACAAACCACCTTGTTGCTGCATTTGAACTAGATATATAATGATAATCTGTTTAACCCAAACCAAATTTTTAACATGCAGATATTCACACTTTTCTACTCGATCGATTAACGATATTCACTTGAATAGTAGATTATTTCATTTATTGTTTGGATGTATACTCAGTTTTTATTTTTTTATTTAATCATTCTAATGTTTAATAGTTGTATTTAATATTAAGTTTTATATATTACATTTTAAGTGTTAAATATTAAAATTATACATTTACAAATGAATGAAAAATTATCATCAATTATCACCAAAACATCTCTACATACATATAATGCTATAAATAGCAATTATTACATTTAGAATAAATATAGAGAATATTATAAAAAAGAATAAAATATTTAGTAAAATGTATGTTCATGTTATTAAATGAATACATTATTAATAATAAAATATTGAAGATGCTTATGTTGTAGTTTATTGACCATATAGTTATTGTGTCATTAGATATAAATATTACATATACATGTTAAAATAAACTGTTTCAGTATAGGCCATAAAATATATTATTGCTCAATCTCTGATTTGACAAATGGTACTATGTGATCTTTATTTGGGATGGTTAATCTCATTGTTAATGTGTTTCCACAGACGATGTTTGGGAGCCGTGAGTCTCAGTCTGTCCAGCTGTGGGTTTCTTACAACCGGCAGCCAATGAGAGCAGCTCAGTTTAACACCCGCCACCCTATCACGGTGAGTGCCGTCAGCTTCGTTTAGTCTCGGGTAGATATGTGGCCATGACTTTTAAAGCTTCATGTTGTTTACCTGTCTTATGCGATTCCCTGCTCTCCACTCTCTGCCAGGAGTACTACATAGCAGATGCTTCTGAGGACCAGGTGTTCGTGTGTGTGAACCACAATAATAGTGTTACGCACCTGTACATCTCCGACACACAGGGGCTGTCCTTCTCTCTGTCCCTAGAGAATGTGTTGTACTTTAGCCCTGATGGCTCTGGGAGCAACACGCTTATCAGGTACAGTTGAACATCACAGTGTGTGTGCATTTGTTGGAGCTGCTAAACACTGCTTGTCCACAGACACGGTGACCATTAACGTGATTTAACCAAGAAGGTGTGGTAGATTTTTCCCCTACGCACCGGACTTGGGTTGAACCTGGTGTCCTTAACTCCTGAAAATATTATACTCAGTTGAGTTACCTCTGAATGTGTGAGTTGACACAATCTAACCCCGCCTAAGAGTCTCACAAAGAGTCGAACGACGTCTCGCCCCTTATTGAACACTATCACTTGGCAATAAGGTCTCTAGTATTCCTAACATGCTCCACACTATCACTTGGTAGTAAGGTCTCTAGTGTTTCGCTAAATAACTTGTTCCACTAACTAGCTTACTTCCTGCGCAGGAATAATCGACAAACAGACTTCAGCAAATGTCCTCTAAATGCTTTAATCACAGCCGGGAGTTCTCAACATTTCCTCAGAGAACTTCCCCCAAGAAGAAGCATTAAGCATTGCCGGAGGATCTCAGACAAATCCCATTAAGAATCCCACCAGTAAAACACAAATACAACAGTTTTATAGAATAAGGAGGTATGGCAAAAATGCCATACCATGAAATGAAACATTACTTAATTTGATTGGTTCTTCATAGACAAGCCCTCTTGTTACTAAGTAACCAAACTCTGTTTTTGGTTTCGAGTTTAGACTACCGGTAGTTTTATTTCCCATATTTGTTATTTATACACACACACACACACACACACACACGCACGCACGCACGCACGCACGCACGCACGCACGCACGCGCGCACACACACACACACACACTCCCGTGTGTGTTTTCCCTTGGTTTCGTTAGATGTTAAATAAGGTTAGATGTTAGTCTAACATGGTTAGTTTAATATATAGTTTAAAATTTCCACCACGAAGGACATTTGTTTGTTGGTCCTGGAACAACATTTCTGTTAAATAGTCATATCCCTATCTCTAACCCTACTCCTAAATGCTAAATGCTTTGTATTGTCTTAGAGGTCAATGGTTTTGATCTCATTTTTAAAAATGTGTTCGAAGTCTCTTATGCTCAACAAGGCTGCATTTATTTGATCAAAATTACAGTAAAAACAGTATTGTGAAAAATAATTAGAATTTAAAATAACTTTTCTATTGTAATATATTTTAAAATGTAGTTTATTCCTGTGATGGCAAAGCTGAATTTTCAGTATCATTACTTTAATCTTCAGTGTCACACGATCCTTCCGAAATAATTCAAACATGCTGATTTGCTGCAGGGGTAAAAAAAAATTCTGCGGCTTAATATTAATTAGTAAGATCAAAAGAATAGCATTTATTTTAAATGTATTTACATAAAAAAAAAAATTACTGTCACTTTTAGTCAATTTAATCTATTTAATGTATCTTGCAATTTAATGTACCTTGCTAATTAAAAGTAATAATTCCTTCATACTGACCCACAGTTTTGAACGGTAGAGTAAATTTTAAATGAAAATGCTAAATAAATAAATAAATAATTACAATAAAAACTTTTAACAAAATAGCTAATATTGAAGACTTTCAGCTAAAGTTCTACTTTTAGTGTCACTGCAAAAAAAAAAAAAATAAGAAAAGAAAAGAAAAGGACCAACTGACTTCACTCTAACCATACAATCCAAAGTAAATCATAGGTTGATACAAATTTTTTTAAAGTCCCAATCCCAAAATTGCGTTTACAATGTTGTCTGAGGTCCTGTATTAATGACCTGGCATTAAGATGCGTTTTGGTCGATCGGATCACAAGTGGACAATGCTAAATACAGGTGTAAACAGGGTCTAAAACTTAAAGTCCCAAGGTAAGGTAAGGTCCTTGCACACGGAGTCCAAAATTTGAGCATGTTAAATAAATATGACCTCACGTTGTGTCAATCACGTTTACACGCTGCCTCTGAAACTTTCGTCTGTCATAAAAAATTCGGATCAAGTTAAATTTTCTGCGTTTGTCGCATCCGTAGCAAGCATTTTGAGAGGTGTTTTGACAATTCAGAGCCACCGTACAATCGAACGCCAAAATCCAGAACTGTTCGAGATCAATTGTTTCACGGAAATCGGTGATCTTCTTTTTAATATGTGGCTCCAGTATCGCTAGCAAAGCATCAAACTGAGCCACTGACATCCTGAAGTAAACTTTGAATCGCTCGGGATAATCGCGCAGCTCCTTGTCCTTGATAAGGAGGTGGAACTCTCCTTCTCTACGCAATCTCAGGATTGAATGGACCCAATATTTCCTCTTTCTTTTTCTCTTTTAAGAAGAGAGAGGACAACAAAATCATCCTCACTGCTTGAAGACTCCATTTTGTATTGTTTTGCCTTTTTTTTTTTTCTCGCAACGGATTAATTATTACGCATCAAACTCAGTGTGCAAGTTTTCTGTGCGTGATGAATAGGAAAAAACGCATGCGAAAATTTCGGACTCAGTGGTCGTAAGGACCTGTAGTCGAAAAACGCATTTGGTTTGATTGCTTTCGTAGTGTAAACGCTCGTGGCCGAATGCGTTCGAACAGCCACAAAAGAACGCCTACTCTCCGCCTACTGACTTAATGCGTAAACATTATGGGAAGCGCGCTAGCCAGACAGGATTTAAACTTTGTCAGCTGGAAACCCAAGTTTGGTTTGGAGACGAAAAATGTACCAAGCACAATGTTCTCTAACTATTCCTGATTTCTAACACGTATTCATCGCGTTCGATTTAGTCTTGCGGCATTCAGAGCTGAAACGAAAGCTGCTGCTCTCCATGTGTTTTTCTGTCTTCTCCGGGCGCGTTCACATGTTAATTGTGCAAGCTTAATTTGTCCATTAGATCAAAAGATCTGAAAAAAACCCACATACATTTACCCACCCATAGACCCTCCCCTAGAAGTAATCAGGACAGAAGTGGTCAATAGTGGACAAAAGAGACGGATTAAAACACCAGGTTTAAACGGTTATGTGTCTGCCTCGTCTACTTGTGATCCGATCGACCAAAACACATTTTAATACCAGGTGTAAACAGGGCCTAAGAGCCAACAATCATGTTGAGCCAGGAACACATCCCACTTCAATAATTCACATTAAGCCCCAATCTTACGCAGCTCTGGGTCTCGTCACCTTTACTTGAACTCTTCTCGGTTTAGTGACGGCCCCTCGTCGGTGCTGTAAATCCGTTTTTGGCTCCGCACGTCTTAACCCATAAGCAGTTTAGTGAGATCTCGTCTCTATAATGCAAGAACTATGTCTTCGCCCACCGGTCCCTCCACTCACACTGTCAGTAGAAAAGCAATCCATCATTCCTACACGGCTTCCCAAGGACATGCTATTGTTTTACTCTGCGGCAGAGCGGGATCTCACCCACAGCCAAACCACTGAGCTCAGCACGGCCGCCTGAGAGCAGAGACGCAATTACTGCAGTGCGGAATGCAGATGAGATGCGCTTGGCTCGCGTGCCATTGGCATTTTCAAAGAGCGCCTCTCTTGGCAGATATGAATGGCATGACACATACAATTTTTGTGTTTGTGTATTTGAAAGGTACTTCGCCAACGAGCCGTTTGCAGATCTCCACCGGGTCGAGGGGCTTAGGGGTGTGTTTGTGGCCACTCTGATCAATGGATCAGTCTCCGAGGACAACATGCGATCAGTCATCACGTTTGATAAAGGAGGAACCTGGGAACTTCTGCAGCCACCTGAGGCCGACAGCCTGGGAGGAACCATAGACTGCCAGGTATTAGGGATGTTGGTCATAAAAGTGGGTTCCTTGTGACCTCTGTGTCCATTTAATTTAACTCTCATTCGGCTGCACATCAGAGCACATCCTATGTGGACGCTCTTTCTATACAGATTTGCCCCTGAAACTCACTATTTGCTCTTCAGCACAAGTTGCGATCTCCCTCTAACCATTCAGAACATTCACTACACAAAATGCCACTGTTACAAGTATTCATGTATTCATGAATGATCATTGCTGGCATATGTGATTACTAGGAATGCAGAGATATTAAATATCGGGTTGATATAGTCATTTATTTTTTGGGGTTATTTTGTATATATTAATTTGTCATATATATATATATATATATTATATGTTCTTTTGTCCAAAAAAAAAAAAACAATTGAATAAAAATAAAACATTTTTGCATGCTTCTTGTATACGTGATGCCAAGCATGTGTTTATGACTGTGGTTTTGTGTTTGCAAAAAGTAAGTTAGAATAGCACGTTTTTCAATTGCAGCAGGAAGTAGATTTTTTGCGGTGAGCTGTTTGTGCTCTTTTTACCTTTAGCATTACCATACTCACTATTTCTCTCTCCCCCCCTCTCCATCTCTCAGTTGGACAATGGCTGTTCCCTGCACTTGGCCCAGCGGTGGAGTCAGCTGCTAAATATTCAGCTGCGCAGGATCCCTATTCTGTCTAAAGAGTCTGCACCTGGCCTCATCATGGCAACAGGTGAGCCACATGACCTCCTCTCTGCTTTGTGGTTAAACACCTCTCGTTTGTGCAAGAAAGAGGAAATACTAGCACTATAGTGTCTCTGTTCTTGTTGCTCTCCTCTTATTAACCGAATGCATATAGGTCCCTTCAGAGAATGCAGTACACACTGTAATGATAGGGAGCAAGTGCACGAACCCGACTTCTTGAGTTCATGCCTGGCAGAAAACATTGATTTTTGCCCTCTTTGCACAGTTTGGAAGGCACTTCCTCCCTCTTGTATCCGTCTCTCTCCTTCTGCCAGCCACTGCCAGACCTTTAATTAAATGATTATTAGATAATGTGCATGCATGAAGATGAGAGGCACAGGAGGCTTGTGAAAATGTCTGCCCGTTTCGGCTGCTATCGCTCCAGCGCAGATGTGATAATTATTTGTACTTCACCCACTGGCTAATTATCACATACAGACACACCCTCGCTCGCACTCGTCGACTTAGCCAGCCGAGAGCGGCCTCGCCACCTCAACATTGTTCTCATTGCAAAAAAAAAGATTGTTAAGTGCTGCATATCTCTTAAGTAGATTAATGTAAATGAAGTATATTACACCCCAAATTAATTAATGACAATGTCTTCGAGAAAAGAACAACGAGGGTTCTGATTTCAGGGCTGCGAAAAGAGAGGTGACAGACAGTATGTGTGTCTGGGCGTCTTGTCACAGCGGCAAGACTGAAGCATCTGACAGAAACACTTTGTTTCATGTTTTTTTGCTGGGTTTGTTGCTTTTTGTTTGTGCTAATGTCCTGCTATTTTGTTCTGAATCTTGAGTAGGCTGTCTTTCACTGTTTTTAGGGACGCATTAGCATCTACACCCCAATTATGTTGTGGTCAGATGCGCTTGTGACCATTTCTCATTCGGTTTACATCACAGCACATAAATACCTAATTTAGATTTGTATTTAACGCTGTCCTTTTGTCAGCTGGTCACCTGATATCATTTGTAATTGGGGCCTGTGAGATATGACGCCAGCTGCTCTGTAAATATTGACTGTCATCTTTCTCCCTCTCTACTTTTTTTTTCTGCACAGGATCTGTGGGAAAGAATCTGGCCAATAAACCCAATGTGTATGTATCCAGCAGCGCAGGGGTCAGATGGAGGGAGGTGAGAACTAGTTTTATCACACACTAGGGCCTTTCTCTGTGATAGTCAGAAACTTCCAAAATCTGTCTGAGTATTATCCAATTGATTTAATTAATAAATTATTTATTTTATATACTTTACTTTCATTTCTCCTGTTTGAGGTTTTTCCTGTTTTTATTTTATTTTTAATTACTTTTAATATTGCAACACTTTGGTTTAACTTTTGTTGCTTTTAAATGTTAAGTCTTAACCTTTCTCTAGACTATCCTATCTTATATTAAGGATTTTTTCGGTCATGTATTATCTTACCTAGGGCACCATTTGAGCCAGAATGCCATTGGTTCCCCCTTAAAAAAAATGGTGTTCAACGCTGCTGCCCAGTACAAAAGCACTTATTATATTCCCAGACTTTTTGAAAAGCATAGCAGTGTGTGTTGTTCCATGTAACAGATATGTGTGTTCTTTAGGCCCTGACTGGTCCTCATTTCTACACCTGGGGAGATCATGGAGGGATCCTGATGGCTATCGCGCAGGGCGGCTCCACCAGAACACTCAAGTCAGTTAGCATTTAAGGATCTAATGTCGCTGTTTCACAGTAAAATCTGTCTGAGTATTATCCGGCTTTAGGATGTTACTGATAGCTGTGTCTTGTCTTTTGCTGGCTCAGATTCAGTACTAATGAGGGGGAAACCTGGAAGGAGTTCCAGTTCTCCGAGCAGGAGGTATATGTGTACCAACTGCTGACTGAACCGGGTGAAAAGAGCACCATTTTCACGGTCTTCGGCTCTTATGCAGACCAGAAACACAGCTGGCTCATTGTGCAGGTCAACGCTAGTGATGTGCTTGGTAAGATAACAATGCACTTATGGTACATCACCCAAAGCACCCTAGCAACCACTTTTTACTACCCACAACATCTAGCAAAATCCCTATCAGCCAACCTGAATACTCTATAAAAACAGTAAAAAAAAGTGTTTAAACTCTTAAAAAAATTAAGTCATCATTTATTCACCCTGGTGTTGTTCTAATGCCGAAATTCATACAGGTTTGGAACAACTTGAGGGTGAGTAAATTAAAGGTGAACTAAGTAACTTTTTTACCTTAACCGAACAGCTTTGGAGTCATTGTAATGTTTATATTACTGATTTCATGTTGAATGGTGGTCGTCTCGCACCCCCCTGGTGCCTGTGAGGCGCAAAACCACCCTTGCAACTTTGGGCCGACGAATTGCTTTACGGCAAAAAACAGATCTGATAAAATTCTGATAAAATGAGCATCAAACAGAAATAACCCGGCGCCGTATACATGTGGTGTTGGGCGCACGCAGCTCTTAAAGGGGCCATACCTTATTTCCACTCGTTACAGCGTCCATCCTACTGAACAGGTACAGGTGTACAGGGGGATGGGATCCGGCCGTGAGTGCGAGCCATCTCTGCGTGAGTGCTATTCACGACAGTACAAGTACTCCACAGCGACTCTAGGGGTCGCTGTTTGACAAAAACGGAATTCCTACTTAGTGCTGCTTTAAGTAAATAATTTTTGGGTGAACTATCCCTTTAAGGAGCCACTCTGAACACCATTGCTTCAGTATAGCAACCACAAAACAATTGTTTAACAAAAACAGTGGGCAACTCCCCTGCAACCACCCAGAATGCCCTAGCAACTGCCTAACAGCCAATCAACCACACTTGAAATGTTATACAGTGTTATCCAACACTTAACACTGAATAGATCCTCAAGTGTATCAAGAGTAAATAACCTTTAAATTTAAGTCTTTTTATATTTTCAGTCAATGGTTTGTCAAGCCAATATTCAAAGTTTGTTTTGGCAAACTGTCCTTTTTGTGGTTCTACATGTGAGGTTATGTGTGCTTAGGTGTGCCGTGCTCAGAGGGCGACTATAAGCAGTGGTCTCCCTCTGACGAGAGAGGAAATGGCTGTCTGCTCGGCAGAGAGATGGTGTACAAGCGCCGCTCTCCTCACGCCACCTGCTTCAACGGCGAGGACTTCGACAGACCCGTCACTCTGTCCAACTGCTCCTGCACTCGTCAGGACTATGAGTGGTATGAGCTGAGACCCCCTCGGTCTACGTTTATCTCATGTTGCCATTGTTTTCACTTTTCACCTGAATACGCAATCAATTTTCTCTATTTTATTGGCTCATCTCTCTCTGTTCCCAGTGACTACGGGTTTAAGCTGAGCGAGGATCTGTCTCTCGAGGTGTGCGTACCTGATCCTGAGTTTTCTGGAAACCTGTATGCCCCACCAGTTCCCTGTCCGGTGGGCACAACTTACCGCCGCAGCAAAGGGTGAGAATGTGGTTATTCATTCTTGCTAACAACCATTATGATTATATACTCTACCGTTCAAAAGTTTGGTATCAGTAGGATTTTAATTTATTTATGATTTTATTCTGCAAGGATGCATTAAATTAACCAAAAGTTAGTTTAGACATTTATAATGTTACAAAATATCTCTTATTTCAAATAAATGCTGTTCTTTTGAACTTTTTATTCCTCAAAGAATTCTTATAAATGTATTAGTTTTCACAAAAATATTAAGCAGCACAACTGTTTTCAACATATCATCATATTAGAATGATTTCTGAAGGATCATGTGACACTGAAGACTGGAGTAATGATGCTGAAAATTCAGCTTTGCCATTACAAGAATAAATAACATTTTAAAATACATTAAAACAGAAAACAGTTCTTTTCAATTGTAATACAATTTCTCAATATTACTTTTTCAATGAATTATTTTGTAAATTGTAGCCTTGGTAAGCATAAGGGACTTCTTTCTAAAACATTAAAAAATCTTACTGACCCCAAACTTTTGAACGTTAATGTATTACCAATTAAAAAATATTCACCTCTTTTCATGTTGTATTATCTTACAATACTGAACCAGAGCGAATTTAATGAGTTTTTTTTCCCCCTTGTCACTAATATTCGTTGTCACAGATAAATATTATCTCGTCAAAATAAGACTTCTACCAGATTGTTTATTTTCTGAAAATTTAATTATGTATGTTATGTAACTTCTAAAATGAGTTGGCTGATTATCAACAGTGGTTTTGTTCTATTAAATTAGGTGGATACTTACAAAATATATATATATTGTCGAGCTTACTATTATTATTATTATTAGATTGTAGAGGTCACTTTAAAGAGCTTTTTCCTCTCTATAAAGCCAAATCACATCTGTTGTGATTCAGTGCTGTAAAACAGCGAAACAAAAGAGAGTCCAAAGGGGTGAATCCTCATTATAGGCTCTGTGTCCTTCTGGATACGGATTGTTAGCCACCGCCACCGCCACCGCCACCATCAGCAGCAGCAGCCCGGGAGCATTATTAGATCTGCCACTGCTGTGTCACCATGCATCTCTCCTCTCATTATCTGCAGTCGAGAGGAGAGGATTTATTTAGAACATGGACATGAACCGAATTTAGCTGGATGAGTTTAGATCTCTTGCTCAGTCAGTTGAGATGTGAGCTCGAGGAGGTTAATTACTATTAAAAATGATTCCTGGGAAAATGGGGAAGTAATGCTAATTACGATTATTTAGGGATGCTCAAATATATTAGGACTTTATCTGTTTTCAACCATTTTTGTTATTTAACATTTAGGGACAGTCTATGCTATTTATCTTTTGTATTTCTTAATCTAGATCTATTTAAAGGGATATCGAAAAATTACTACTGAGATTGAACACATTTGAGACCACTCTAAAAAACGCTTGCCCTTTAAGAGCATGTTTATGAAAACATAGGTCTTTGCTGAAAAAGATATTTAATGATTCTTCTTAAAGGTTATTTATTTAATTTCCTACAGTTCAAATCATAGAAAAACAAGAATTAGCATTTTCAAATAAGCTTGGAACATTGGTACTTCTCAAAATGTTACCTGAATTTATATGGAAGAAAGGAAATTCATTGATGTGTAATTACAGCATCACCTAGTGTCAACTTTTTGAACTAAATTCTTCAAGAAGAGAAATTAGAAATTTCGAAGATGATTTCCGCTGATGTCAAGTTGTGATCTGACGCTTTAGGTACAGGAAGGTGTCTGGAGACAGCTGCAGCGGGGGAGATGTTGAAGCTCGGCTGGATGGAGAAATGCTGCCCTGTCCTGTGGGAGGTACAGTCAGAACCTCCTCCTCAGCTTACACAATCATCTTATCTGAGCTCTTTTTATGGAACACCACACAGTCCTATGGGACGCAACAGGAAGTTCTAGAGTCACAGTTCATAACATGGCCTTATAAAAAAGAACTTCACAGAAAAACCTCAAGTCAGAGAAATGAAATTGTAAATTAATAAATAAGTGAATACTGTTTCAAATTTTATGGTCTGTAAGATCTTTTAAAAGTTTGTATTTGGCAAAGCTGCATTAAATTGATCAAAAGCGACAGTAAATACATTTAGAACGTTAAAGAAAATTTCTATTTCAAAGAAATGCTGTTGTTTTGAACTTTTTTTTTATCACCGTTTCCATAAATACATGGTAAGACAAGACTTAACTATAAGTTTTAGAAGTAGTTTTCATTTTTAGTTCTTGTTAACCTATATCAACCACAGCATTAACTAAAACATCAAAACTGACCGAATTTTAAATGAGATTTATATCTTTATCTTTAGATTTTTCTATCTTGAAGTTAAAACATTGTTTTTCACTGGTGGACTTTTTCAAAATGCTGTGTTATGTAGTCGTTTGTTTTCACTTATGACATAGTAACCGTATGCAGATGCAAGATATAGAATAATGTTAGACCTCTTCACTTTTTCTCTTAATCTAATTTTTCGTAATAATTCCGTTTAGTTGTTTGGTAGCAAAAAACACATAAAAAATACATTGGAAATGCATTTCACTGTAAGCACACAATGTGACATATCATATACAAACCACAGTAATGTCTACAACTGTACCTGAATGCTTGTCCATAATAAATGCATAAATGTGTAAAATAAGGTAATTCTTCAACATGACGCAGTGAGGTGTCATGATGGACAGATGCATTGAAAGCTACTCTGTTGTTGTTCCAGATGATGCCTAAGTCATTACTCTGTCACCTCATAGATTTAAAGCGATAGTTCACCCAAAAATGGAAATTTTTGATATTTTTAAAATGGAAGATATTTTAAAGAACGATGGAAACCAGACATTTGACGGCATTAACTTTCATAGTAGGAAAAATAAAAACTATGGAAGACAATGGGTGCCGTTAACTGTCTGGTTACCAACGTTCTTTAAAATACCTTCTTTTGTGTTCAGCAGAAGAAAGAAACTCATACAGGTTTGGAACAACATGAGGGTTAGTAAATGATAACAACATTTTTGGGTGAACTATCCCTTTAACACATTGAATACAGTAATGTGGACAGTCAGTCCTAAAGATGGGATTTAAAAATCTAATTAGGATTGTTTGTAGTGTAATCAAAAGCCCATCTTCCCACCGAGCTGTTCAAGAGCCGTCACCGTCTAGACTGCCTGTTTTCTCTGGCATTGTGGTGCTCAGCCACTTGACCACGCTTCAGTGGCCGTGTTGATTGGCTTGCCTCTCAGACTAGAGGATGCTGGGAGTAAATAAGGGGCCCTTTCAGAAAGCTCAGATCTGAAGCAGTGGGAGAAGGAAGTGATGTGAAGGATGTGCCATCAGCTTTCTTTTAAGATTATCAATGAAATAGAAAATGGAAAGTCTTCCCAGATGAGTGGAGGCTGTTAGCAAGGAACAACTCCATTTTAGTGCCAGTGGTTTTGAGATGAAATGCTCAACGAAATCTCTTAACTGAACCCTCTTGCCTTCTTCTTCTTCTTCTTCTTCTTCTTTTAGAGAGTAATGAGTTTATCCTGTATGCGGTGAGGAACTCCATCCACCGCTTTGATCTGGCCACAGGTACAGACCAGCCGCTCCCCCTCTCGGGTCTCCATGAGGCGGTGGCGCTGGACTTTGATTATGAGAAGAACTGCCTATACTGGGCTGATATTTCGCTGGACACCATTCAGGTGAATAAACATCTTTTTAGGGATGCACTATATATCGGTGCCATATATTGGTTATTATTGACTGATATTTGAGAATTTGTTATTTATTGTGTTAGCTGATATTGTATATTTAATTGGTGTTTAGTTGTTCACATCTATTTCCCCTGTTTGTTATATTTAGATGACCTTTGCTTAAAGTTAATCTTTAATAACACTTATAATTTATTGACACTTTAATGTAATCTTTAAACTGTAAAATAGCAGATCTCAAAACGATTATACATTTTTCATGCTGTGCATTATAACGTTGTGATGCCTAAAGCATAAATATTTAAAGCATTTAAAAATTATTTATTTTTAGTCTTACTGTCTTATTTTTAATGTATTAAGACAAAGTAGTTTAAAGTATACTACAAAATATTAACATTTCGGTCGTTGTCCATAACAAATAATTTTCAGCTTTTAAAAATATTTTTCCCAATTTTATGATTTTTTTTATTATTATTGTTTTTTACATTTACATTTTTATATATATATATATATATATATATTAGAGACATTTTAAAAGCAATTTATAAGCATTTTGTATGTTTTTGTGTAGAGATTGTGTTTGAATGGAAGCTCTGGACAAGAAGTGATTGTCAAAAAGGACCTACAAAACGTGGAGGCGCTGTCATTTGACCCCATCAGCCGGTTGCTGTATTGGGTGGATGCCGGTGCTCAAAAAATCGAGGTAATCAAATGTCAAAACAACTACAGCAACATCAGTTACAGACATTTGTTCATGTAGTCGTCCTCACACTGTCTCTCGTGCAGGTGTCCAACTCTGATGGAGACCTGAGACGCACTCTGGTCAACTCTTCAGTGGTGGAACAGCCTCGAGCCTTGACTCTCATGCCAGGAGAGAGGTACAGTGTTCCCATAATCCTCTTTGTTTTCCTTAGCAGTCCTTTTGCTCCCTGAGTACTAAGCTGCATGTGCTGTCTCTCTTAGCCTGATGTTTTGGACAGACTGGGGTGATCGCGCGGCGGGCGTCTACCGCAGCTGGATGGACGGATCCAACATCTCCTGCATCGTGTCCGAGGGAGTTCGCTGGCCCAATGGCATAACGGCAGATGAATCATGGCTGTACTGGACGGAGGCATATGGAGACCGCATTGAAAGAGCAGACTTTAATGGAGGCCACCGCACTGTGGTAATGGAGGGCCTGCCTCATCCTTATGCCATTGCTGTTTTTAAGGTAGGCCCAGTCTTACCACTTTCTGGGAATGTTGGAACTGGTATTCTATCAAACCTTCTTTGATAATCATAAACTCATTGTTGAACTGGTCTTTGTTGTTGTAGAATGACCTGTACTGGGATGACTGGTCTAGAATGGGAATCTTCAAAGCACCTAAATCAGGCTCACCAGACAGTGAGATGATAGTGGGCAGACTGACAGGAGTGATGGATCTCAAGATCTTCTACAAGGGAAAGAACAAAGGTCAGTTCTTAAGGAGACAAGTCAAGTCAAGTCAAATATATTTATATAGCGCTTTTCACAATACAGATTGTATCAAAGCTGCTTCACAGTATCAATCAAAACAACTTAACAGTGTTTGTTTATTACTGGAAAAAGACATCCAAGTTTGGTAGAGCTGATCAGTGGTATGATGGGCAGGGCCTGAAGTTAACTTTTTTGGCCACCAGCCACTGTGGCAGGTGGATATCAAAATTCACCTGCCACAGAGACTTTTTACCAGCCTTTTTTTTTTTTTTTGCCTCATTTTCATAGGTGAAAAACGGGAATTTCACAATATTGTTCTTTAACTTGTACACATTTAAGTGCTGTCAAGTTATTAACGAAATCAATATAAGTAATAATAACTCTTAGAATATACATTTAAAAAAAATCTTTTTATTCATTGATTTTGACACACACACGCACAACAGATCTATAGACCTACCGCAGCTCGTATGTAACGTTAAACAAATCACCCGCGGCTGTGTTGATGGCTGATTTAGTCACGTAGACAGCTAGGTCCTGACAGCTTTTAGTTACAGCGTTCAGGAACCGTTAAGCAGAACTAAATTAATATTATTACTGGTAAAGTTACCGGGTACCGGACATTTTCTCACCGGTTCCCAACTCCCAACATGTACTACAGTTGCACACGCACACATCTGTGCAACTGTCATTGTTCTGGAGCCTACGTCAGCGTTACATTATCTCATCCCATCTCACCAACAGTTCAATACTGGCACATCCAAACGTAGTCAGAAAAGGGCCTCATCTTCTTTCTGATCGCATGAACGTTACGAAACAACAGTCGCTGTCATAAATCAGCCGCTCACGAACCTTGCCGTTGTCGCCAATTGACCACTTTGTATTAAAATGTCTTCTTTTACTTTTCTTTGACTCATCCTCATCTTTTTGTTGGTTGCTTGTTTCAGCTGGCCTTTTTACCCCAGTAATGTGCCGCCACATTATAGCTAAGGTCCAACGCAATGAAAATGAAAACGAAAACGTAAAAAAAAAACCTAATGAATCACTCAATTCTCATTGGCTACCCGCCAATGTGGCAGGTAGATTGACAGTGTTACCCGCCAACAGCAAAATTCACCCGCATTTGGCAGGTGGTCGGGTGTTAATTTCAGGCCCTGATGATGGGTCATTTAATTTGAATATCCCCAAGACACAGTCCTCCTGAAACATGGAAAATACACCATTAAAGACAGCATGAAAGGGTAATAGCCACTAGCCTTTCATTTATATAACAGCCCCACAAAACCACACTTGTCAGCTTGTATTGTTGATGAATGCAAAATAAAAACTTTTCTTTCTTTTTTTTATGTATAAATTCCACTAAATTCCTTAGTGATATTTATAATTTGGCGGGGGGATTTTTATTGTAGTTGTTGCATTTTAGTGGACAAGAACACAGGGTTATTATCGTTAACTAAAACCAAAACCATATAAAAATTTTCATCACTTAAAATTAAATAAATCTAGATTTCAATCAAATATATATAAAAAACTTACATTTAAAACATATTTTATTAAGACAACATTTATCATTTTCATTTAGTTTAAGTACAAAAATAACTAAAACTAAATGAACTAATATGCAGCAGAAACAACGCAACCATCCAGGTGGATGCTGCACATTGAGTACCCAGAAAAGCGCTATATAAATGTAATGAATTATTATTATTAACCGTGGCGTCCTATATCAGGCCTGTTTTTCTGGAGTATTTTTAGGAGTAAACTATATCTTTGATGGCCTTAAACCTAGCCGACACTAAAAGCCACAGAATTCTGTTTTGACATAAAATATAAAAATTGTTTAAAAAAAATGTTTCTCCCCTGTAGGTCAGAATGCTTGTGTGGATCAGCCATGCAGTCTTCTGTGTCTTCCCCAGCCTGGAAACAAGCATCACTGTGTTTGTCCCGACGGAGTTTCCAGCACCATCCTGCCCTCAGGAGAGCGTCAGTGTCAGTGTCCCAGTGGATACCAGCTCCACAATAATACATGCGTTAAGACAGGTCTGACAGAAACAAAAGTGTCAGATATCAATAGCTCTAAATCATAAATCATTTTTATGAAGTAAGTTTGACTTTATTGATGTTTTTCTGTCTGCTGCCCATCAGAGCACACCTGCTTGCCGAACCAGCACCGCTGCGCTAATGGGAAGTGCATCAGCAGCATCTGGAAGTGTGACAGTGACAACGACTGCGGCGACATGAGTGATGAGCAGGAGTGCCGTGAGTGACATCATCAGCCCCACCACCTCTGTCTCATATAAGACAACACTAATGTACGAATGTTGAGTTTCATGTGTTTCTCTCTCTGTAGCCTCCACTTCCTGTGACCCTGCGGTTCAGTTCCGCTGTGTGGCCTCAGGTTCCTGCATCCCACTGGCCTTCAAGTGCGACCATGAGGATGACTGTGGCGATAACAGCGACGAGGAGCATTGTGGTATGCGTGTGTTTAGAGCTTGGTGATGTATCAAATATTCAAGATATATCTTTGCTGAATTTTTGAGAATTTTGCTGTTGGTATAAAATTAAGTGGTATCGTGATATTTTATTGCACTTTGTAATTGATCATTAAGTTTCCTTAACAGCGCATTACAGACCAGTTTAGAGATCACGCCCCATCTTGCAAATATGAAAACGTTATGATATAAAAAAAAATTATAGTGTCTCTGAATCAGTTTTTGTTAACTAAAACTTTAAAAAAAATGTATAAAGCTGAAATAAAATATTATATACGTAATCGATTTTTATTGATAAAAGAATAGAAATGGAAACTACCGTAATTGAAATAAATTTTATAGTTGAAACTGAAAATTTAAGCTAAATAGAAATATTTCTCTAAAAACAAAACGACTAATACATAAACCGTAATTAAAATGAAAACTGAAAATATAAAAACAAAAGCTAATTCAAAAAATGTATACATACTATAATAGTATATAAATAATACTAAAATAACAGTGCTCTGAATTTAACTTAAGTAGCAAAAATTGTTTTAGTGTAATTTATTTGTCAACTGTTTCATTGAAATAATAAATCTGATTAAAAGATGAATTTGTGAACACTTGAAGTTCAGGGAAGTCTATGTGGTGTATGTTCATGGGAACATTTTTATTTTTATTAATATTGCTGTTCATGAGTTTAAATTGTTATATTAGGGTGTACTCACACTAGCCAGTTTGAACCGTGCCCGAGTGCGTTTGACCACCAAAGCGCGGTTCGTTTGACTAGTGTGAGTGCTCCGAACTGTGCCCGGGCGCGGCTCGATTAGCCGGCCCTGGCCCGCTTGGAAGAGGTGGGCCAGAGCACGGTTCAGTTGGACTCGGGCGCGGTTCGCATGCAGTGTGAGCGCTAACCGTGCTGGAGCACGGAACAGGACGCGTGATGTCATGGTTTTGCGACGCTCCAAAACCAACACAGTCCGTAATCAAAGCTGCAAAGTCCTTGCTGCACTTCAGCTGGTACCTTGCAAACCTCCTCATACGAGCAGCACGATTACGTGAAAATTTTCGCGCCACTAAGGCGACGCATCTGTTTAACAACAGGCTGTGAGAGGGCTGTGGACCACCGTGGACCAAACGACACAAAATTATCCACAAAGAAAACAGAGCGATGGACTCCATTGTGTTCAGAGAGCGCCGCTCTTCTTGTTTATCCCGAAACCGTCGCACGCACCATAATGACGTAAGCGTGCTCCGGCACGAATGCTGAAACCCTATGTGAGTGCAGGCCAGAGGGGGAGTGGGGAGGGGGGACAATCGTACTCGGGCCCGGTTCATGGCAACCGTGCCTAGTGTGAGTCAGTACACCCTTAATATAAATACAAATGATTAAAATTATCATTCTTCTGTTAATTTATTGAAAACAGTGTGGAGAAACACACCTTAATTTTTCTAACAAGATTTACGTTTTGCATTAAACATTTTAAATCTATTTGGTAATGCTGGGTGTTTGTTTGTACGGAAGCCCTGAACCGCAACGTTTAAAAAAAAAATCGACCATTTCGACTTTATCTCGAAATGCTGTATTTTATTTATTTTTATTTGACAGATTTTTATTTAATTACATTTTTTTACGTTGCGGTTCAGGGCTTCTGTAGTTCAGGGCTTCCGTGATATGACTTCCTTAGATTGAAAAAAAAAATCTCAAAACACATTTCCAGAGCAAATACATCAATATTAATAATATCTTGAAAATCATTGCCATGCTAAACATCATTGAGAGACTTTTTCTTAGCTATATTGTATATGTATGTTTTATCTTGGTCAGTTAAAATAACTTGGATGGAGCGCTCATATTTTATCTGCTTTCTTTTTTAGAGTCTCACCAGTGTGGACCGGGAGAGTTCACCTGCGCAAGAGGCGTGTGTATTCGGGACGCATGGCGCTGTGATGGGGACAACGACTGCAGGGACTGGTCAGATGAGGCCAACTGTACTGGTGAGAGAGACTCATTCACACACAGGTGCATACAATATGCAGTGAAATATGTCACGTCTCCATCCTTAAGGTTCTTCCTCTTTCTGTCTCATAAAGTGGGTCACCACACATGTGAGAGCAGTAGTTTCCAGTGCCACACGGGTCACTGCATTCCTCAGCGCTGGGTGTGTGACGGAGATGATGACTGCCAGGACGGCTCAGACGAGGACCCTACCCAGTGTGGTCAGTCACAAACACTGCCATACTCACCTCCCTTGTTTCATTGTAAACTATATGATTTTATTTTAATTTTTTGGAAGACAGTGCATCTTTGAACAGCAAATGTTCTGTCAAGCTCCAAAAATAACATAAGTGTCCGTACAGTCTCATGTATGATTCTGTGTAATTTAACATCTATTGGTTTTGTCCGGCAGGGCGTGAAAAGTGCAGCGGGTTCTTGTGCGCTAACGGCACCTGTCTGCCCGCTAGTGCTCACTGCAATGGTGTGGAGGACTGTCCAGGGGGTGCTGATGAGCAAAACTGCGGTATGTGCTTCCTTATTTATTTAATTGACCGTTCGCAAAGACCCGCCCCCCTTAGTTACTGTCGCTATGTCCGACAAGCTACACTGCTCTCTCACACACACACCATGTTCTCACGCAGTGAAAAATACATTGCGGACTGACAACACGCTGACAGACAGGACAGACCAGGTTACTTTTCGGTTACTTTTGATATTAAACATATTAAACAAAGTCTCACCTTTCAAATTTGGTCATTTTTTTAAAAAGAAATTTAAACAATAAATACCGTTTTGTGGCTCTTTAATGTGTCGTGACAGATCGCTGTAGAGCATCAGTTAAAGCTGCTCGTGATCCGATCATATCTTCCTTCTAGTTCATTTATACCATCAAATAAACATGAATGAACATAAGAAGGAATGTTGTTTTAACCGCAGAAAGGCATCAGTACATTCCGTTTTTCAAGTTCAATTCCTCCCATGTTAATCTACTAACTCTCCTGACTGCTTTGTCGGACAAAATGGCAGATGGCGAAGTATGATTGGTCAGATCACCTGTCAATCAAGCTCCCTGCGAAGGGTCAATTGCAATTGTTTTTTATGTTGTGTTGTCATTGAAACTAGATAAAGGTAATAAGGGTCTGTTCCTGCAGGTCCCCTCTGTGCGCACTATATGGAGTTTGTGTGCAGAAACCGAGCGCAGTGTCTGTTCCAGTCTCTGGTGTGTGACGGTACACGACACTGTGCTGATGGCTCTGATGAGGACGCAACATACGCTGGCTGCCGTGAGTCCAACAATTTGCTAACTGAAATGTGATTATTATAAACTGTTCACTAGAGGAATAAGCTAAAAGTCCTTTGTGTTCTAACTGAGACTCTACATTTAACATGTTAAGTTAGAAAAAAAAAAATGAACATTTCATAATGTACGTATTCAGGGTATCCGCGGGGTCTTGAAAAGTATTAAAAGGTGATAAATCAATTTTGGGAAAATTAAGACCCTTAAAAAGTATTAAAAAGTCTTATCACGGCTTTATAAAGTCTTACATTTTGAAAGTATTTTTTCTAGGGATGCACCGAATATTCGGCCGCCGAAAATAGCCCAAAAGTGCATTTTCGGTTTTCGGCCGAAAGACTTTTATCACCGAAACAATACGGCCGAAATGTTGTGATGACGCAAACAGAAACCGCGACCTGCACGTGCTTGTCTGAAGCAACACGTCTGCGGTGTGGACGTATTTCAGTGAATATCTGAACCCGCGAGGAGACGGAAGCCTTGTTCGCGCGTCTCCACAGACAGCGCGCGCACCTCTCCAAACGGTCGAGGCGTTTATACTTGACGCGCTCGCCGTTGTACCATTCTTTGAAACGACAGGGGACGACTCAAGTAACTGTCCTCTAACCATCAGGAATCGGTGAGAAGAAGAAAGATAAACACGTGACAATGCTTATTTTTTAGTACCACCACCAATACAAAAATAATCATGTAAAACCCAGTAAACCCTGAGATTATTACTTGTGACATTACAACAAAATATGTATAGGAATATGTACTAAATTAACGCTCTCTTAAATATTTTCTAATTTCACTAAACATATTTCATTAAGTTTCGTGTACATTTGTATTAATGGACCTTTGTTCATTAAAATGGCTTTTTATGCAAGTGTATGCTCATTTTTAAAATGTAATCAACTAATTTAGACGTGCAAACTGGTGCTGGTGTGATGAGAAGTTCGTGCTCGGCTTTGTTTTTATGAGAGAACATTTCATTTTAAAACCTTTCTGCAGGCCAGCAGATTATTATTTAATGTACACATGAGTGGGGTCAAGTTAAACATTTTAGTTTTAATTTTATTTTATACTGTGCATTGTGCTAAATAAATATTTGCATAATTTGTAATTGATTTATTCTTTGAAAATGTTAATTTATGCAATCGCAATGCCTTGATTTTAGTAAAGTTTGTACACAGTCATAACCATAAATGCAATGGTACTTATAATTGGCATAATTTCTTTCGGTGTTTCGGTTTTCGTTTTTTCGCCCTTGGGTTCCTCTTTTTCGGTTTTCGGTTTCGGCCAAGAATTTTCATTTTGGTGCATCCCTAATTTTTTCTGAATTACCTGTCCAACAGTTTGAGTCCCAAAAACATCGTAAAAGTGTGTGAATTTAGTCATTTTTTATTTATTTTTTTAAACGAAGAACTGAGGCACATGTCAGCATGATTGTTGTCGAGGGTGGAGCAAAGTTTTGTTTTGTTTTTTAATAAACTTTGCTTTGATTTACTATCCCAGCCTATTTGATTTTTTTTTTTTTTATCAGAGTGGTCTATAGTCTTTATCACAAACTAAAACTGTAAAGTTAAAACTATCACTGATGTAAATGGTTACAGCTTGAAGTGGCGGTGAGGTATTAAAAAATATTGAGAAGGTCTTGAAAAAGTCTTGAAAAGGTATTAAAATTAACTTCAAGATTCCTGCATATACCCTGGTATTTAATCATGCTCCAAGTGTAAATACCTATTATTGCAATTTAAAATTCCTGTTTCCTATTTTAATATATTTTAAAATGTAATTTATTCCAGTGATGGCAAAGCCATTACTCTTCAGTGTCCCATGATCCTTCAGAAGTCATACTAATATGTTGATTTGGTCCTCATAAAACATATCTTATTATTATCAATGTTTAAAAAAGTTGTTCTGCTTAATATTTTTGTGGAAACAGGGATGCTTCGATGGTTAGAGGATTCTTTGATGAACAGAAAGTTAAAAAGAACAGCATTTATTTGAAATATAAATCTTTTAACAGTATATATTTTTAACAATTTATTGCATCATATGAAATTTCTTTAAAAAAATCTTACCGACTCCAAACTTTTGAACGGTTGAGTGTATATCATAGTATTATTAATAAATTAATCATAAAAATTATTAAATTATATGTGTATAAAAATAAAGCAATCAACCTACTACTTATGCCACTTTTTGCAATGTCTATTGCTTTTTTTCTCATCTGCCACAATTTATTGTCTTAACTTATTATCATAAATTATTCATAATATCTCAGCAAGAATATGTACTTACTTTGCATTTGATTTAATTAATCAGCACATCATGTAATTAATATGATTCCATTTTTTGAATCAATTGACAGTCCTAAATGTGGACTTTGGATAGAACGCCAATGCAGTGTTTTGTAACGAGTTGATTTGTTCTCTTCTCTTCCACAGCAACTAACCCTGAGTTTGAGAAAACATGTGACAGCTACAACTTCCAGTGTTCCAATGGAATGTGTGTGACCCTCGAGTGGAAGTGTGACGGCATGGACGACTGTGGCGACTACTCGGACGAGGCCAACTGTGGTGAGCAATAACTCCCACACTGATCAAGAGGCCAAAAGTCAAATTCTAGGTTGAATTTATAAGTCACGCTGCACATTGACTTTATGATGTTAGACAGAATTTTGGCTATGGAAGGCTACAGACTTCCAGTCAGAGAGTAAAATAAATCAGTAGGTCCAATCCAGTCACACCTTGGACTAGTTTCAAACAGTACTGTTCACCTAGTTTCTGTACTTAATTTCGAACGAGTTTTTGTGCTTTCGGTTTCAGCTTCCCCAACCGAGGAGCCAGGCTGCTCGCGTTACTTTCAGTACGAGTGTAAGAACGGCCGCTGTGTGCCTGCCTGGTGGAAGTGTGATGGGGAAAATGACTGCGGTGACTGGTCTGATGAATCTCAATGTTCAGGTACATAATTCAGACCTGTATAGTGTGTTCTATTAAACTTGTTTGTAAAGTGCCAACAAAAGACACGTGCTCAGTGGATTAATTACGACGAATTATGTTGTGTCTGTGTTCAGGTGGCGGATCTCCTCACACACCTGCGCCAGGTCCAGCTACCTGTGCCCCTAATCGTTTCCGCTGTGGTTCTGGCGCGTGTATTGTGAACACCTGGGTGTGTGACGGCTACGCTGATTGTCCTGATGGCAGCGATGAAGTGGGCTGTCCTACAGGTGCCTTCTCAGCTCTTTTCCTAGACAATACCAGGGGTGTCAAACTTTTTATTTCAGAAAGACATGTTCATTTATTATATTGGTTTTATATATCCGTAATATCTTTTTACCAATAATGTTTCAGCTTGCATCAATAACATGTTTTAGCTTGCATAAATAAATGAAGCTTAATTTAATTAAACACTTTTTTAAAATAATGTGACATTTGGCACTCATGTTCATACATGCAAATTCACGCTCTTCAGCTCAAACTGGTTCAGTGGGTGATAGGACAGTCCCAGAGCGCCACATTTCATTTTCCCTAATACTATATTAAGTGTTTTCACTCAATAATAATGTCCCTATAAAAAAATGAATAAATAAGTGAATATCTTAGAGGGCTTTCACAATGTTTGCTGCGGTCTGAGTTGGAGCTTGATTGTTCCCGGCTCCCCCGCAGCGTTGTTCTGGTTTCACACTCAACTTGATTCTATCGAACCCTGGTGCATTTGCATTCACCTTACGTCATCACAAACATGCACGGCACATGATAGAAATCAGGATGTTTTTTTAATTAATTTGGTGCTATTATGTGCAGCAGAGTGAATCACAATGGGGTTTACTGTATGTGCATCGCATGAAGACGGCTTTCTGCTGCTTTCAAACAAACTGTTTTGAGGAGATCGTGGATTGCGAGCCATTCACTCAATTGTATGTGAAGTTCTCAACATTTTAAATAAAATAATTCTTAATACCAGATCTCAAGTGAATAAGTATTAGAAAGCTAGTATAATAATACTTATTCAGTGCAGTGAATGAGATTTATTGAATGGGGAAAAAAAGTTCACATGGAGTGACATTTAAATGTAAAATAAGTTTAACCCTTGCCTCTTTTTATGGCTTATTATATCGGTCTTTTGCTTAGTCAAAGGCTCTGTGACTCCAGTGGCAACTCTTCCTCCATCGGGCCGCTGCACTAAAGATCAGTTCCTGTGCCTGAAGCCTGCGAGCTGTATCGCTGATTGGAAGCGCTGTGACGGACACCCTCACTGCCAGGATGGATCTGATGAGACCAACTGCCGTAAGTGTTGTAACATTTGGACACACCTACTCACTCTTTACTACCGTTTTCCTCATTTTGGAATAGAAATAAAGTCTTTAAATCTGAAATAACACAAACACTGTTACACTGCTTAGCCTCCACCAAAAATTTCTTCTCCCTGGAACCTTTTCTTTCTTAACTCTCCGTTATATTTCAGCCACTCATGGTCCGTTGCTCTGTGTGAACGGTACTCTCTGTGCGGATGGCGAGGCCTGCGTGCTGAACAGTGAGAGGTGTGATGGCTTCATAGACTGTTCTGACAAAAGTGACGAGGATAACTGCACTGGTGAGACACTGAGAGACGTTCATGTTGTATCTGCTGACTGCATTGTACCACAGTAAGACAGTCTGACTGTTCATGCTGATTTTCCCTTCTCAGTGGATATGTTGGTGTACAAGATTCAAAATCTACAGTGGAGCGCCAACTTCTCCGGTGCTGTGATGCTCACTTGGTCAAGACCCAAAAATATGCCTACAACATCCTGCTCTTTTGTCATCTACTTCAGGTAAATTTAGCTCTCATCTACACCTGTGGTTATTAAGCTTCTCCAGGTGGTGGACCATTTCAACTGTGAACCAAAAATTACAGACCACTTAACCTTTATTTGTTTTGTTTTGTGATGTCCCAATTAAGTGTTTTTGTGCCCCCGATCAGAGTCATTTAATATTGAATATCTGCCGACACCGAGTCCTGATCCAATACTTGTATTCTCTTAGTGCTATGTGCACACCTCAAGTACATTAAAGTTATTAAAATCAATCAACAAACGTAGATATCAAATATGCGAAACACGGACGTGTATGCGCGCCGCGCTAGAACAGACCCAGGGTCCACATGGGTCAATAATAAAGGTTGTGTTTATTTTATTTTCTAGGCAGGTGGGTGTCCAGCAGTGGACGTCTATGGACACGAACAGCAATAAGGGCAGTGCCGTTTTGACCGTGTTGATGCCGGACACCACCTACCAGGTGAAGGTTCAGACTCAGTGTCTCAGCAAACAGCACAGGACCAATGAAATTCTCACACTACGCACACCAGAAGGATGTAAGTCTACATTAGCAGCACAGTCACTAAAATCTCTCATGGTACAATTCAGATGTACATGGAAGGGATATGTTTGGTCTTCTGTTGCCCCATTGTGTCTGACGTCTGTGTTTGTATGGCAGTGCCGGACCCTCCTCAGGGTCTGCAGCTGAGCTGTGACAATGCTGAGGACGGGACAGTACTGTGTTCCTGGAACCCTCCTGATAAAACACATGGACTCGTCAGGGAGTATATTGTGAGGAAGATGCCTTCAGTTCTTTATAGCATTTATCAACACCTACTTGCATCTAACTGGCTGTGTGTGTTGTGCAGGTGGAGTACAGTGAAAAGGACAGCGCTGAGTGGTTTTCCCAGCGTAGCACCAGCACCAGTGCAGAAGTGAAGAACCTGCAGCCCAGCTCGCTCTACAGATTTAGGGTGAGACACTCGAGGACTTGCATAAAGTATTTTTATGTGAACTTCTGTTGATGATACAAGATCATTTAGATCACTTCATCAAACCTGTGTTCATCTGTTGTTTCTCAGGTGGCTGCTGTCACAAGCAGAGGCGTGGGAAACTGGACAGAAATGAAATCCATTGTTCCTCAAAAAGGTAAGGAAACTATATAAAAGCAATCTTCACAGAAGAGTGCTGACTCCCCCTGCTGGACATGTTTTATCTTATCCACCTTTTTCCTGAGCAAACGATGAGCACATGATGGATTCTAACTTGTTGTTCTAACTGTTTGTATGCTGTCCTGTTCCAGTCTCCATTGGAAGTTAACCCGTTGTTAAAACGGGGTAAAAAGATTAATAAAAAAAGCTGAATTAATTCAACTGAAACTTTTTGAACATTACTAAAAATTCAAATGAGCGCAGGGTTGCAAGCTGTGCTGTTGTTGACTGCCACAACAACAGCACTAGACTGAAGTAGTTCTTGGAAAGTATGTGTTTTGAACTCCAGCAAATATGAAAAGAATGTCCATATACGGCGCCATATGCCTTGCATTTTATGCCAAAGACTGACAAGAGAAAACGACCATGGCTTGCAGCACTTAAGTTAAAATACTCCCCATAAAAGTTATGTGCGTGCTCATCATTTTGAAGAACAAAACCAACCCGGACTTCACCGATCGGGAGCTGTATGTAGGATATGAGCGCCTATCTGTTTTCATGTCATCTACGCACTCATTAAACTTTGACGGGTGAGGCACTGACAAAAGACGGTCATTGCGGCACTGTAAAGTGATGGCACTATGAAGTCATGTGCTTTTTAAAGTTCGGAAAATACGCTAATATAACTAGTAACACTGGAGACTGGAAACGCAAAGGATAAATCCGCTGCGAGTCGGGCGAGACTTCCGCGTTCAGGAAAAAGGTGGATAGGATGGTTGAAACAGATTGAGTGTCATGTAAACTCCCATTTCAGCATAAATATAAACAGGTCAATATGTATCTGTAATTTAATATCACTGGAAATGTCATGTGATATCATGAATAATAATGAGACAGGGCTTTCTCAAAGGATAAGACCATACAGTCTCATAAATGATTGAGGCATTCAAAATAACAGATACTAACATTTAATTAAAAATAAAGGATTTTAACATGATATTTTCAGATTAACACTGACTTTTTAGCATCATTACTGCAGTCTTCAGTGTCACATGATCCTTTAGAAATCATTCTAATATGCTGATTTACTGCTCAAGAAACAATTATTATTATTATCAATGTTGAAAAAGTTGTGCTTATTAACGCTTTTGTGGAAATGATACATTTTTAGAATGATTGAATAGAATGAATAGAAAGAACATCATTTATTTTAAATAGAAATCTTTGTATCATTATAAATGTCTTAACTGTCACTTTCAGTGGTTACTGATCAATTTGGTTGCATCCTTGCTGAATAGAAGGAACCAGACCTTTAAATGGTAGCATATCTGTTAATAAGGATTGGTGGTATGATCAAAGACTTATCCTACAAAATCTTTTCACATTATATCACTATATCTCAATGATCTTGTCAGAGAAGACTGGTGACTATGTATTTCGATACAGATATTTTACTGGAAATATTACCCTCAAATGTTTTATATATTGCTTAAACATCTTAATGTTTTGACAAAAAAATACTGTAGTGTTTCATGACTCTTTAATAATGTGTCTTTCAGCTCTCTCTCCTCCTAATGTCGCGATCTCCAGCATCACAGAAAACTCAATGACTTTGTCAATCACCAATGATTATAAGGTCCAGGTTGGTCGGATTGTTTTTTTTCTCTGTGCGGGGTTTATGTTATGACCTCCTTCGAATGTAAATATAATATTGATCTCTCTCTTTCTCTCTCTGTTAGGTGAAGCACTACATTGTCGTTATTTCGTGGGTATTTGATGAACATGTGAAGGAGAGCTGGAATTACACTGTCTTAGGAACATTGAATGGTAAAACACTTCACAGTCATCAAACAATCCTGTCAGTGTTTCTGGAAGAAGATACAATGTGTGTGTGCTCTTTTCTGTATAGCCACTAACCTGACAGCAGGGATAGTGTATGAGGTGGCGGTGTGGGCTCACACGGATGATGGAGACAGTCCTACTGCTCTGTCCCGCCAGCAGACCAAAGGCATAAGACCTGCCGAGCCGTCACTAAAGGCCAGAGCGCTCAACCAGACCGCTGTAGACTGCAACTGGACCGGCCCTCAAGCTGAGGTGAGACTAACTCATAAACGCTCATAAAAGTGTGCGGTCACATTTATAGGTGAAGCATTAAGGCCGAAATCCAGGAATTTCAGTAGGAATTTGTGCGTTCGGGAGTGAAAAAGTTTGCTCACGTTTAAGGTGGTCATATGAACTCAGACTATTGAGTTTCTCACTTTTAATTAAAAAATAAGACTTTTATACAGATTAGCTCTAAATTCATACAAGCTTTGTGTTAAAGCTGCATGGTTCTGGATAAATTGAGAATGGATCTTTTGTTTAAAATAGAGATCACGATTTTCCCACGATTCTGAATAGACAAACAAAATAACGTAAATTACTAGAGGTTCTGACAAAATATTAATTGCTGCAGTCTATATAAAAATATTGAATCAATTTGAATTAAAAAATGTTTTATCTGTTTGAATGAATGATTCAATCAAAAAGACTTCACTTGTTTCATTACTGGATGAATCAGCAATTTTAAACGAATTTCTTGAATAATGTACGATCCAATGACAAATACATTTTAAACATTCACTTGTTGCCACCTAGTGGTTTAACGATGTAGTTAATACAATCTTTAAGTGTCATTACGTTCAAAAGGTGATTTACTCTATATTGAGACATCAGTGTTTTTATTATCCGAACTATAAACTTTTATCCCAGTACTGCTGTGATAAATTGAATTATTGTAACAGAAATAATGTTACTGTGTTATGTGGTTGAAAAGTCTGTTTGTGAAGCTGTTTCATACCTGTACATGACAACTGCAGGCAGCGCCAACGCAGATTTGAATGTTCGCTGTGTGATCGTACTTCTCCAAGGTTTAATGGACATAGTCGAATCATGGTCATTTAGGAAGAAGATTGTGGGTCTTTTAACGATTAATCGTGCAGCTCTACTTTGTGTATTTAAAAGTATGAAAAGAAAAGAAAACTATAAATACTGTAAGATATGAGATCAAGTAAAGCACTCATTGGTCACACTATATATTAAGTGTCTAACTAGTATGTACTAAGATTGAAATTATCTCTTGAGGAAGAAAGATTTCCTCAAGCAATTTTTGCATCGGGTTTAGTCACGCAAATTCGCAACGTTGACTAATAGAAAGCTGCTTGGTTTGAGCTTTTGCTTCATACATTGCTACACTATATTGTCAATAGATAATGGACCCTTTTTGCTGAAATTTCACTAATGTGACCACGCCGTTAAGCTGAAAAGAGGCTAGTGAGACACCATCTTCTGTTTTCGCAGGTGTATGGAGTGTTCTACGCCACCTCCTTCCTGGATCTGTACCGCAGACCTCACAGGGTGAATACCACCTCCACCAGTCTGACTGTGATCGTTGACAGCGACGAGCAATACCTCTTCCTGGTTAGTATCCACCCTCACTTTGAAGATCCGTCTTGGCGCCATGATGTCCAGATGAAGTGACTGTGTGTGTTCTTCAGGTGAGGGTGATCTCTCCATACATGGGTCCTCCATCAGACTTTGCTGTTGTGAAGATGATCCCCAACGAGCGACTTCCACCTCGAAACCTGCACAAAGTGCGAGTGGATAAGACGCAGGCCACTCTGAAGTGGCAGCCGCCATTCGATTCTCCCAGCAGTCCTTTGGTATGAAAACAGTCAATTTAAATGTTTTTATAATTTAGTTATGTCAGATGGGGGTGTTTCAAGCATCTTTGTGTATATATCAGACGTATGCAGTGCACGTGAGAGATACGGTTCGTAAAACGGAGCGGGACTATAAGGTGAACACTCAGAACAACACGGTGGAGTACACGCTGAAGGGCCTGGAGCCTGGAGGACGCTACAGCATCACCATCAGGCTGCTCAACATGAGCAAAGAGGCCAGCTACACACTCAACACGGGTAGAGTCATCTCTTTTCTTGCCTGAAACATTGTACCATAAAAAAGGTCATGGGTGCCTGAAGGATTTCATCTGTCGGTACACACAGAGGGGGAGATTTTTAGCAAAAACAAATGCAAACGCATTTGGCAAATTCACAGAAAGACTCAAAAAATTATTAATTCAATTCAATGATCGGCATTGCTGGTTCAGTCGACAGAAATACAGGACACACATAACTGCTGAAATATTCTCACTGAAACCGTTTCCTAGGTCAGGCGGAGCGCTCATATTACAGCACGTACAGCTGCAGACATCATTGGAAAAAGTGAAACACTAAATGTGTTTAATATGTTAATATTAGTTGTATAGTACTTACACTTTATTATGTAATTTACGGTATGAGAGGCAATCATATAATGTGGCACACAGTGAAGTGCCTGCTACCCCTTCAGCCCACGATGTAGCAGAGCCTGCGTTTATAACACAATTTCTTCATTATAAAAATATTAAGAGCACACATTTTCATTCACTCTTTTTTTTTTAACCAAATCCTCCATTCCCATCACTACACAACCTGTCAGGTTGGTAAAAGGTCGGTCAAATTTTTATTGTTTTTGACAGATGCCTTTTCTGCTCACCATGGGTGCATTTCTTTGATCAAAATACAGTAAAAACAGTAATATTGTGAAATATTATTAGAATTTAAAATAACTGTTTTCTGTTTTAATCTATTTTAAATTTTAATTTATTTCTGTGATGACAAAGCTGCATTTTCAGCATTATTACTCCAGTCTTCAGTGTCACATGATCCTTCAGAAATCATTCTAATATGCTGATTGGCTGCTCAAGAAACATTTCTTATTATCAATGTTGAAAACAGTTGTGCTGCTTAATATATTTATTCTTTTATGATTAGAAAGTTAATAAGAACAGTATTTTATTTGAAATATAAATCTTTTGTAACATTATAAATGCATTTACTGTCACTTTTGATCAGTTTAATGCATACTTCTTAAAAAAAAAAAAAACACTTACTGACCCCAAACTTTTAAATGGCAGTGTATTTATGCCATGAGTAAAAAATTGGTTATTTCATGCTGTTTTTTTGTGTGTGTGTGTGTGTTGTTGTTTTGCTCTAAACCTATATTTATCCATTCCACACAGTTTCTCTGCCTGCACCTGAGGCCCTCAAAATCTTAGAAGAACAGGATCATGTGTTCCTCTTCTGGAAGAGCCTGGCTGTGAAGGACCGGACCTTCAATGAAAGCAGGGTTAGAAACCACCTTTAAACTCCACATAAAATCCACATTGACTGTTTACTCAATTAACATTTCTGGTTTTATTGTGCATGATTTATTAGTGCACATTATCCCAAAGAAAACTGTTTGAAACATCTTTCCTATTTGGCTTTTTCCATTTCCTTGTTTTTGTTGGCTTCACTAATGATCGCTTGACTCTTCAGGGCTATGAGGTGTATGTGCATGACAGTGTCACCAACTCCACTATGTGTCTGGGTAACACAACGGAGACATTCTTCAGGATCAACAGCTTGTTGGTGGGCCATAACTACACGTTCTCAGTGCGGGCGCGCTGCCTGCTCAACAACCAGCTGTGTGGAGAGGCGGCGGTGCTGTTATATGACGAACTGGGCAAAGCAGCAGGCATGAGCTTTTACACACTAAACATTTTTGCCTATATATCTGTGGCTATTTGTTTGGCCAGACGTTGATCCTGACACACATTTGTCATTGTTCAGGGCCGAATGATGCCAAATCTCAGTCGGGTAAATCCGAAGACATGGCGGCGGTGGTTGTTCCAGTGTTGTTCCTGCTGTTGGTGGGTGTGTGTGGAGGCCTGGTGGTGCTTTATCTCAGACACCGTCGGCTACAGCACAACTTCACCGCCTTCGCTAACAGCCACTACAACTCTCGCCTGGGCTCTGCCATTTTCTCCTCAGGAGATGAGCTGGGTAAGACCAGCCTGAGTCCTACCTTTCATGAAATCTGTATTTTGTTTCAGTGTACTTCAGAGAAGTGTAATTTACTGTAGTTAACTTCTCTTCCGTTTAGTTCAGTTAGCTTCACTTCAGTTCACTACACTCCATTTTAATTCAGTTTAGCTCACTGTTTACTTGTGTTTAGATCAGTTGACCATTTTATTTCAGTTCAGTTTAGCTCAGTAAACTTCAAGTTCACTTCATTCCATTTCAGTTCAGTTTAGCTCAACTGACTAAAGTTCACTTGTGTTTAAATCGGTTGACTTTATTTTAGTTCACTTCAGTTTAGTTTAGAACTCTTGTGTTTAGCTCAGTTGACTTTTATTCTCTTAATTTTTGTTCAGTTCACTATAATTCAGTTTAGCTCAGTTGTCTTCAGTTCCATTTATTTTAGTTCAGTTCACTTGAATTGAATTTATTTCAATTTGGTTTACTTGAGTTGTTTACTTCAATTCAGGTCAGTTTACTTCAGGTGTGTTGTTCAATTTATTTAATTTCACTTCAATTAGTTTTAATTTCACTTCAGTTCAGTTCAGTTCAATTCTGTCGTTTCAATTCAGTTTACTTCATTTGAGTTCACTTATATGTAATTTAATTTCCATTTAGTTCACTTGAGCACTTTGTTCAACTGAATTCAGTTCTGTTCAATTCAATTTAGTTCAGTTGCATTGACTTGATTTCAATTCATCAATTTAGTTCTGGTCCCTTTTAATTAAGTTCAGGTCACATGAATAATGTTTGTTTCACTTCAGCTCACTTTATTAAGCACAAAGTTTTACATGCTAAAACTTAGCTGAATTCAATAAGAGTTCTGATCACTTCAATTCAGTTTAGTTGTTGCATTTACTTGATTTCAATTCAGCTTAGTTCAGGTCACATTCAATTAAGTTCAGGTCACTTGAATTATGTTCACTTCTGCTCACTTTATTAAGTGCACAAACTTTTCCACACTATGAAAATGAGCTGCTAATGTTGTTTCTTTGTTCCCTCTCTTCTGAAGGTGACGATGATGAAGACGCTCCTATGATCAGTGGCTTTTCAGATGACGTTCCCATGGTGATTGCATAGCTGGACAACTCTTTCTCTCCTCCTCCTTCACTTCCTACTCCACTTCCTCATCATGTTTTCTTACGTGCCCATCCGGCACACCTTCAAGCTGCAGAGCTCCCTTCCTCTTGACTCCCCGTCACTTAGAAAAACGCTGGATTTATGTTTCTGGACCCCGAGGAAGAAAAGAAAGCATGGAGCGAAAGAGATATTTTTAAATATAAGATGCACTTTTTTCGGATGCGCAATAACTTATTTTTTATATATAATATATGTGGGTATTGGACTTTGTAGGCATTAACTGAAGCAAACTGTGAAGGAGTTTGTCAGCTGATCGGCAGACTTACTAAACAGGGAAAAGACCCTTATTGTACAAACTCTCACACGAGCATTACATTTGCTTTAAGCCAAAACAAGTATCTAGATATGGGTACATCAGTGCAAAAATTCACAAAAGAAAAAAACTAGAAAGCAAACCTCATATGTATACAGATGAAAATGGACCAATGAATGCTGATAAAAAGGGAAGGCGGTACGTAGGCTCTTGCACAGGATCCGATTTTTTTGTTGCATACCGTATGCTCGATTTGTGTCACTTTGTCAGTAGGCCTGCATTTGTCCATGGTACCTTGTTTACACTTTGTGTCCATTGTTAATTTCCTTGCTCAGCAATAGGTTTAAAATTCTCTCTGCTTTTTGAAAATGTGAAAATTGTTACCTATTTTGGTCGTTTTTATCAGCTATTTTCAGAAAAGAATGACCAAAATTAAGACAATATAGGTTATTAGTGTAGTTCACATTAAGTCTCAGTCCATAAAAATTGCTCATGTTCACGGTCTGCTTTTTTCCTTTGATTTATCCTACTCATTTTATCTAGCAAAGATAATATTATTGCATATCCTGTGTGCTGCCATGGTTTTAGTCCTTTAGTGTTCTCAGGGAACTGGGTTAATGTAGATGTACCAGCGATATCAGTCACACTGCCACAGGCAGCGCAGTGTGTTTAATTCAGAGACTATTGTGCTGTACAGTAGTTCCATATTGCAGTGAAGCCTGTGCAGCTCTTGTCTGAGCGAACCAGAAGGCTTCATCTTAGTCTCTTGTGCCAAGCTTAAGAAAAGCAGAGGGTAGCGCAGACGTCTTGCCTTCCCGAACAGTTGTGAAGAGGTACATGTGTTAAATCCATGTTTCATTTTAACTGAATTGTGGGTGTTGCTTAAAGATTTGTTTATGAATGTATTTTTTTTCTTCTTGTTTTGTATCTTATATTGAGGTGACCAGAAAAAAGGAAAATGGTTACCGTCTACCCCCTGCTTATTTGTGTTCAAGGATTTTAAATGAGGTTTATGGCCAGTTTACATTAAATGCTTGTGGTCATTATTAATGATACTCTCTCCCATTGTTAATTGGCATTAAACGAAACTGTTCAGTTGGTAGATGCGGCTGTTTTTAGTAAAATTGTGTTTCTTTCAGTACCACATTGCCTTATTACAACACACTGAGTAAAGTATGTAGCAGTATGTCAATGTGATCACACATATGCACACACTCACAGAAAATTTAAACAAGTAGAATAATGAAAATTGTATAAAGACAGGAATAGTGCGATAGGAAATGTGTGTATCGACATATTGTGAATTACCACTGTATAATGTTTTAAAAGTTCCAGTGCAGCACTTGTGTGAATCCTGAGCCACCGTTTTTATTTTGTCTTGTTTGTATTCTTTACTCGCAACCATTTGTGGCGATATTTCTGTCATGCCCAGTTTGAAACCCATTTGTTTTTTTGGTCAAAAAGATCTAAACATTTTTACATAGCAGTGATGTTGGACACTGCCATGTTTAAATATTTAATCTTGCCTGCCTACTGAGGGTTTTAAAGATAAGAATATTTTAAGTGGTACAGTATGAGATGTTTTATGAACCACTTATGCTGAAATAAATGTGGAAAATGTTAAATCTGACCTCTCTTGCTTTGTGTAACTCGATGTATAATCACGCTCTTGCAAACTATTATGACTCGAACTTTCAGGGGAAATGTTATATGCCCAGCAATCCCAGTAGATTAGCAGTTTCTGAAATACTCAGACCAGCCCTTCTGGCACCAACAATCATGCCACGTTCAAAGTCACTCAAATCACCTTTCTTCCCCATACTGATGCTCGGTTTGAACTGCAGGAGATTGTCTTGACCATGTCTACATGCCTAAATGCACTGAGTTGCCGCCATGTGATTGGCTGCTTAGAAATTAAGTGTTAACGAGCAGTTGGACAGGTGTACCTAATAAAGTGGCCGGTGAGTGTATATATATATATATATATATATATATATATATATATGACTGAAATAGTTGGAAAGCTTAGTGATGGTGACGTTGAACATTAATGAAGGTTGTGTTAATTTGTGAAGAATATCATGATGAACAAAACGTGTAAGAATCGTAAGCTTTTGTTAGTCACAGACCTTATTTTCTTCAAAAATACAAAAGCCAATGGTGATGCTAACTTCCGGGTTGGCTTACAAAAATACATGACCCCTGCACACGATCCAACTATCCAATCAATTCCCAATGGAAAAAAATCAAGAAAAGATTTTCGCCTTTTAATGCCGACTTTAATGTGCATGTGTGAATAAGTAAACTTGCTGTAATTATGGAATAATTTGGAATCTCCCGAAAAATCGACTCAAATCAACTTATTTATTCTTGACGACACATTATATGAAATAAAAGTCATTTATGAAAATAAATAAACCTAAAGAAAACAGTTGCTTCATTTCCCTACCTCAGCCTCTGGCCCTTTTGCCCGGTGTTTATTGATGCGGGGGCTTTATTTGAACCACAATTAGACATGTTTATAGAGGAGGGATGTCTTTATGCAAGGCCTGTTCCTGTCTCTGTTTATTTGAACTTGTCACCCTTTATTTATCCTCACTTCAAACTCCTCCAGCACAGATGCGTTCGTGACGTCACGGTGAGCGCGGAGCCTGCGGTGGTTTCACAGCTGAACGCTTCAGAGAGCGTTCGCTTGCTCAATGAGCTGCTCTCTTTAACCTGTATTTGTCAGAAGAATTCAGCTCTGATTAATTAAACATGCATACGCCAAAATAGTGACTCTGATTGTAGATCATAAGTGCCATTTTTGCTAGCTTTGTTTATACATTTATAGCATCAATACAAGTTTTTGTTTACATAAAATATGTGTGTAGGCCACTGTGTATATATATATATATATATATACACTCACCGGCCACTTTATTAGGTACACCTGTCCAACTGCTCGTTAACACTTAATTTCTAAGCAGCCAATCACATGGCGGCAACTACGTGCATTTAGGCATGTAGACATGGTCAAGACAATCTCCTGCAGTTCAAACCGAGCATCAGTATGGGGAAGAAAGGTGATTTGAGTGACTTTGAACGTGGCATGATTGTTGGTGCCAGAAGGGCTGGTCTGAGTATTTCAGAAACTGCTAATCTACTGGGATTTTCACGCACAACCATCTCTAGGGTTTACAGAGATGGTCCGAAAAAGAAAAAACATCCAGTGAGCGGCAGTTCTGTGGGCGGAAATGCCTTGTTGATGCCAGAGGTCAGAGGAGAATGGCCAGACTGGTTCGAGCTGATAGAAGGGCAACAGTGACTGAAATAACCACTCGTTACAACCGAGGTATGCAGCAAAGCATTTGTGAAGCCACAACACGCACAACCTTGAGGCGGATGGGCTACAACAGCAGAAGACTCCACCGGGTACCACTCATCTCCACTACAAATAGGAAAAAGAGGCTACAATTTGCAAGAGCTCACCAAAATTGAACAGTTGAAGACTGGAAAAATGTTGCCTGGTCTGATGAGTCTCGATTTCTGTTGAGACATTCAGATGTTAGAGTCAGAATTTGGCGTAAACAGAATGAGAACATGGAACCATCATGCCTTGTTACCACTGTGCAGGCTGGTGGTGGTGGTGTAATGGTGTGGGGGATGTTTTCCTGGCACACTTTAGGCCCCTTAGTGCCAATTGGGCATCGTTTAAATGCCACGGCCTACCTGAGCATTGTTTCTGACCATGTCCATCCCTTTATGGCCACCATGTACCCATCCTCTGATGGCTACTTCCACCATGTCACAAAGCTCTAATCATTTCAAATTGGTTTCTTGAACATGACAATGAGTTCACTGTACTAAAATGGCCTCCACAGTCACCAGATCTCAACCCAATAGAGCATCTTTGGGATGTGGTGGAACGGGAGATTCGCATCATGGATGTGCAGCCGACAAATCTGCGGCAACTGTGTGATGCCATCATGTCAATATGGACCAAACTCCCTGAGGAATGCTTCCAGCACCTTGTTGAATCTATGCCACGAAGAATTGAGGCAGTTCTGAAGGCAAAAGGGGGTCCAACCCGTTACTAGCATGGGGTACCTAATAAAGTGGCCGGTAAGTGTGTATATATATATATATATATATATATATATATATATATATATATACACACATACAGTATATATATATATATATATATATACATATGCATGTATTTATTTAAGAAATGTTTGCAGGTATATAATGTATACATTTATTCATGATTTATATTATATATAAATATAAATATTTTATATATAAATAACACATTTTTCTTAAATATATACATGCATGTGAGTGTATTTATACATACAAAATAATTGTATTTTGGCTGCGATTTATCCTTGCCCAGCATATATACACAAACCAAACATAATTGTAGTAGGTTTTTTGTTATACTGTGTATAGAAACTAATTCAAGAATTAGATAATATAGAAATATTTCAATCTTTTTTGGATTCAATTTTTTTTAGTTATTTTTTTTGGTTCAAAATCAAGATTTATTTTTAAATATGCAAAATAATTTTTTTCTTTTTTTTTATCTCTCTTTTTTATGTTTGTATTTAATTGTTTTTGGTTTTAAATATAGCCCTTCAGGCATTCAGACAGCTAATTTGGGTTCTAGAATGAGTTTAGCATGTGACAATGACAGTGTATCAAATTATCATCAAAATGTTATCAAATTGGGACTGAAAAAGGTCTCAATCGTAATACTGCAGCTTCCCCAATCCACCAGCAGATGTCTCTCATGTCTCAGTTTACTTTTTCACCTTCACTCTAATATGTGCTGTACTTGCTTACTGTACTGTTATTCCT